TACACTTTCCTGCCACTCCTGCTCTCTTTCTCTGTTCAACCTCCATGATCAACCACAGAAGGAACAGAACTTCTTACACAGGGTGACAACTGTGACAACAGTAGTACTAGTACTTCCTGCCGTTCGAGAATCCAAATTGCCCTACAGTACCCCAACCAGCCAAAAAAGTCTCCGGCCGAAACTTGGATCATGCAACCAGTGCAGCATCAGTTTCATTACCCGCATGACTGCCTTTGGAACCAATCAGTACCACATCCACATATCGCTTGCTTGCTTTGCCTGATTGCCTCTCAGTCGCCGCTCCGCTCTGACTGTCATGAAACGGCAGACGGCCAAGCACTTCCGTTGATCCTGCGAAGCCAGCAGAAAATATTATAATAGTATTAGGTTTGGTTACTTTTGCATTTATATCTACATATTGTCTCGTGCTAATTTGTTACAGCGGGCTTAGATACGAATGTCCATAGCGTGGCATCGCACTTGTCTCTTGACCCTAAAATTGTTGTGAACTCTACTTATCATCATAGCTATTGCTCATTTGCACCTTTGCCGATCAATTCACGAGAATGTGGACGCACAATGTAACTATACCCTCCTGGCGGCCTGCATGCTCTATCTGGAAGTCCAGGAATTTCCATTATGACTAGACGAGAGAGAGCGTTTCTCCGTATGGTATTTCATATATTGTAGATAGTAGATAACGTACTCCAAAGAGCAATTGTGAATAGAATACAGTGTTATGAATTCATATTGAAATCCATACTGGTATACTACTCACCTCGCTGGATCGTGTGAATCTGCTCCTGGAGATTGTTCTTCCATCACACTTCCGTGCCAAGACATACATACTCCTTTCGATTAGCTCGTTTTTGACAACTCCCAGAAACAACATGCTCAGTCCCTGCACGAAGCAATTCATACCCTTTAGAGTATCGGACGACTTCTCACTTGGACGACAACACCCATATACATCATGGGCGAAGTTGCTGTGGAACATCCGCTGAATGTGATTCCACCGCACAAGAGGCAAACGCCATCGAATATACCAAGCATCGACATCGAAGGCATCATTAACGATGATAGCGATGAATACTCGACACTGAAGAGACTTCAAAGACATCTCGAGTAAGCCTCAACGCTCATGATGATCATACCGAGCTAAACTTCAAATAGGTACATCAACCTACAAGAAGAATACATTAAGGATGAGCAGAGGTAAGCCTGTGGCATGTGACTCTCAGAGATCGGTACCTGAACGGATAGCAGGAGCCTGAAGAGAGAGCTGGTACGAGCTCAGGAAGAAATCAAGCGGATACAGAGTGTTCCCTTGGTCATCGGCCAATTCATGGAAGCAATCGATCAGAAGTACGCAAGCCCCCAATAGTGATTCTTCCCGCCATGACGACTGACATACGGACAGCACCGGTATCGTGCAATCATCAACAGGTTCAAACTATGTTGTCCGCATCCTTTCCACCCTCGATCGAGAAAAGCTCAAGCCATCATCATCTGTCGCCCTTCACCGTCACTCAAATTCTCTCGTTGACATACTGCCGCCTGAAGCCGATTCATCTATAGCCATGCTCGGTGCTCACGAAAAGCCCGATGTGACATACGCAGATGTTGGGGGCTTGGATATGCAGAAGCAGGAGATTCGGGAAGCTGTGGAGCTGCCATTGACGCATTTTGACCTCTACAAGCAAATTGGTGGGTACATGTTATTCTCAAGTATCAGGGCGTTGCTGATGACCAGCAGGGATTGATCCGCCTCGTGGTGTTCTCCTGTACGGTCCTCCCGGCACTGGCAAGACCATGCTGGTCAAAGCGGTGGCCAACAGCACAACGGCAAACTTCATTCGCGTCGTGGGCTCAGAGTTCGTACAAAAATACCTGGGAGAGGGACCCCGTATGGTGCGCGATGTTTTCCGAATGGCGAGAGAAAACTCGCCTGCCATCATTTTCATCGATGAGATTGATGCTATAGCAACGAAACGGTTCGATGCTCAGACGGGTGCAGACCGAGAGGTGCAGCGCATTTTGCTGGAGCTACTGAACCAGATGGATGGCTTTGACCAGACCAGCAATGTCAAAGTCATCATGGCTACAAACCGAGCCGACACTTTGGATCCTGCTCTACTACGCCCAGGTCGTCTGGACCGAAAGATTGAATTCCCTTCATTACGAGACCGTCGCGAAAGACGATTGATTTTCACGACCATTTCCGCGAAGATGTCACTTTCGCCCGAGGTTGACTTGGATTCTCTCATCATCCGCAATGATCCATTATCAGGAGCAATAATAGCGGCCATTATGCAAGAGGCGGGATTGAGGGCTGTCAGAAAGAACAGATACAACATCATTCAATCGGATTTGGAGGATGCTTATTCGAGCCAAGTGAAGGGGGAGGCAAGCGATGTCAAATTCGATTTCTACAAGTAGCATCTTCCAGCGTTACATGCTTAAGTCTTTTCCACCACAAGATCTGCCTTTAGGGCTAGAGTCTCGACAACCTTGCCATCACAAGTGATCGGATCTCAGCATGACAGACATGAATGATCACACAGAGTATACCATCAAAAGTCGCGATGCTGTTCATCAGGAGTATTGCTCGTGTGATCAGGTTTTGTTGCTTGGCGCTCCATAACAGGGGTCCCACAAGCGCTAGTCTAGTTGCGCAGGAGCGGTGGCAGGCAACCGCCATCATCATCGCCCAACCTCCCAACTTCCCTCCATCAACAACCCTCTGCCATCTACATCAGCACTTTTCATCCCAACTGTTGTACTGTCCTACTTTATACAGCTAATTGGTATTCGAACATGAAGAGCGGTCTCCTCTTTGCCGCAGCGGCCTTTGCCGGCCTGGCGAACTGCGGCGTCCACAAGCTGAAGCTCGAGAAGGTGCCTCTATCCGCGCAGCTCGAGCATGCCGATATTACCACACATGCCAAGTCTCTTTACAAGAAGTATTCTGGCCAAAAGTTCATGGGTATCCGACCCGAAGCACACGAAGAAGAGATGTTCAAGGACACCTCAATCCATTTGGATCAAGACGACCACCCAGTACCTGTCTCAAATTTCTTGAATGCTCAATGTTTGTTTTACCACATCATTTCGACTATTTTGAATCTGACATGGCTCTAGACTTCTCTGAAATCGCCATCGGCAACCCACCGCAAAAATTCAAAGTAGTCCTGGACACTGGTTCCTCCAACCTCTGGGTCCCATCAACTGAGTGTGGATCCATTGCTTGCTATCTTCATACCAAGTACGACTCATCTGCATCATCAACGTACAAGAAGAATGGTTCCGAGTTTGAGATTCGATATGGTTCGGGCAGCTTAAGCGGCTTCATCTCACAGGACACCCTCCAGATTGGCGACATCAAGATCAAGAACCAGGACTTTGCTGAAGCTACTCAAGAACCTGGCCTTGCTTTTGCCTTCGGTCGCTTTGATGGAATCATGGGTCTCGGCTATGACACTATCAGCGTTAACAAGATCGTTCCACCCTTCTACAACATGATTGACCAAGGCCTTCTCGACGAGCCTGTTGTCTCTTTCTACCTCAGTAACACCAACAACGGTGAGGGCGACGAATCTGAGGCCATGTTTGGTGGCGTGAACAAGGATCACTACACTGGCAAGATGACCAAGATTCCATTGAGACGCAAGGCATACTGGGAAGTCGACCTTGATGCCATCACTTTTGGCGATGCAACGGCTGAGCTTGACAACACCGGTATCATCCTGGACACTGGAACCTCTCTGATCGCTCTTCCATCCACCCTGGCTGAGCTTCTGTGAGTGACGACTTCCTCCCATCCCACCGCTTGATGCTAATCTAGAACAGCAACAAGGAGATCGGTGCAAAGAAGGGCTACAATGGTCAATACACTGTCGAGTGCTCGAAGAGGGACGAGCTCCCCGATATGTCATTCACTCTCACCGGTCAGAACTTCACGATCGGTCCGTATGATTACATCCTCGAAGTTCAAGGTTCCTGCATCTCGTCTTTCTTCGGCATGGGTGAGTCCGCCTCGTCTCTCATTCACATAATCAAGCTAATGTGTAATGTACAGACTTCCCCGAGCCCGTTGGCCCATTGGCAATCCTTGGTGACGCCTTTTTGAGGAGATGGTATTCCGTGTACGATCTTGGCAGCAACAGCGTTGGTCTCGCTCTGGCCACGCAGTAAGACATGTGTACATTAGGCGAGGGACTGATGTCAGTCATGGGGGTTTGGAAAGAAAATTGTAGCCCAATATGCTCACTAGAGAACTCAAGGGTTGGCGGGAAAGGGAGTTGCGGCACCACATTCTTTGCGTCTCTTCTGTACTTTACTCTTGCGTACCGGGTGACTCACAGGCACATGCGGTGATTGACAGGATTTCCTCATGTATTCACCTTCTGTTTGATCCTTGGCAAGTGTAAAGACCGCTTGTATTTTAGAGTAAGAAACACAGCTCTTCAAATGAAATTTCGCGCGTTGTCGTGTCGTTGTGTCTTAGGATACTATGTAGTCCAGAATCGTAGGACCTAAGTAGGTAGGTAGGTAGGTGGGTAGGTACTTTAGGTACTTGTAGCCCCACCAGTCCTGCTAGAGTTACCTTAGCTAAGATAAAAGTAGGCCCGCATTGATCTGCAGCTACAGCCTACAGTAACCGTTTTTTTATTTTTATGTCCGTGATTCTCTGTGAACCTGAAGTACCAACATTCAACAATATTCTCCCAGTAGACAGTCTTGACTATCTGGTTAACTGAATGATACCTGCCTCATACAACTTTCCTGTCATCCAAAGCTTGCCACAGCCGTCATGAACCGGCTGACACATGTTCATCCTTATCGCGCATCACCTGAACCAAGTGGTAGCACAACGAAGCCTCGCATGCTCCAAAAATCGCTGCCTCCACTTATAGTTCTATGACCCATATCATCCTACACTCGTGGATACATGCGTACATACAGCTCTCGATATGGCTCACGAACACGATCTCCACAAAATGGCTGGCCGAAAGTTTACCAAGAAAAGGAAGCCACTCCGAGCTTCGTCAGTACAGTATCCAGCAAGATTGAAGGAAGGAGAAGATGCGCAAGAGGATGTCACAGCTGCTAAAGGCGAGCCTGCTCAACATATGAACCAATCCGTTTTCTCCATGATCGCTGCGGCTGGGTCCAAAGTTGACTTCAATGCTCGTTTCGAAGAAGAAGAAAGCAGTGATAGCAACGACGAAAACCAAGCGTCAGCCATTTCAGGCGGTGTCGATGAGCAGTCCAACCACCCTCGGACTCAGACACACTTGGACAAGCAGCATGAGGACAACCTTTCGAGAGAAAAGTCCGGGAGGCCACAAGGAAATTTTTCTGAGCACAAAGGCCTTCGTCCATTACCAAAGCTAGATCTACGGACGATCAAAGAGAAAACTTACATGTCCCAAAGTTTGCGGTTGCCATCAAGTGAAGTGTTGAACCAGCACGAAAGTCCAGCAGGTGTCACCCCACGGGATGCACCTGTGATGAGCATGATGCTGGAAGCACAGGCCGAGCTAATTACTTCCACCCAACTCCCGGGCATCAAAAATACCGGTGCAGAAGAAAGCCATGATGTAGTTGGCAAGGAGGCTCCTACCAGCCTGGTGACTCGGCTGATGGAGATATTTGGCTTTGAGAGACCCGAAGAGGTGGTATCAGGTATTTGAAACGATACTACAGATTCGTATCAACGCGCTGATAATTTTGTAGAATATCCTTGCTGGCTTTTACAAAGTGTTCTACTCCAAGGGTATATGTATATCACCCAGAACCATATTTGTTTCTACTCATACCTGCCCAAGAAATCTGTGAGCTAGCCCCAACATCGTCAGAATCTCTACCATGTCTGGGCTCACACACGAGCAGAACGTGACCGCCAAGTCTGGGCATCTCTTCAAAAGAGGCAAACAGAACCCAAAATTCCACCGATATTGGTTTGTCTTGAAGGGAGATGTTTTATCATACTATACTGATCAGTCGCGTCTCTACTTCCCAAGTGGCAATATCGACCTACGCTACGGCATATCTGCCTCAGAGAAAGGTAAAGATTTCACCATTGTCACGGACCAACGTGTGTACCATTTCAGGGCAGATAGTGCTACCAGCGCAAAGGAATGGGTTAAGACGCTCCAGAAGGTTATTTTTCGTTCTCACAATGATGGCGATAGCGTCAAAATATCTCTGCCTGTTGAAAATGTCATTGATGTCGAAGAAAGCCCGGTCAGTGGGCTCGCAGAGACCCTCAAGATCCGCGTAGTAGACAGTGACGAAACGTACGCTGTTGAAGAGGTGTGAAAGCTCTACTCTGCTAGCTTTTATTCTGATGCTGACATACGAAACAAGTACTTCTTCTCATTCTTCGACTTCGGACACGACGCTTTTCATGTCCTACACACCGTTGTGAACGACACAACTGCGCAAAAGATTCCCCGAGACATTCTGTCTCGTTCCCCAGTACATGACGATTTTCGTTCGCGCGATAGCTCTCAGCTTCCTAAAAAGAAAAAATCTTATGATCTGAAAGCGAGCAGTCCCTTGGACCCAGCAACACCCATTTTGCCTGATAGCGTTCGCGCGACGCTTGTCCCATTCTCTCCAACAGATAGTGGGCAAGTCAGTCCTCGCGTGAGTGGCGATTGGGGAAGACGTAGCATGGACTTAAGCCAGAAAAGCATAGACGCGAGTCGAAAGAGCATAGACTTTCCAGCCAGATATCCCAGTCGTACCAGCTTTGAACGAGGTAGAAGAAGTGCGAGCACTAGCAGAAACAGATTGACAAAAAGGCACCCGGGAACTAAGGCACAACCCACCGCGCCACAAGGATCCACTGATTCCTTTGTTCACTCACTTGAGCAGGGTCCCAAGTCTTCTGCGCCCCACGTTTCGAGCGAGGAGACGCAAGCTTCAGGTAGCCAGATTCTGAATCGAAGTGATGTCTTCCAATCTCCAACCATCCAGCGTCTCCACGGTTCTCCAACATCAGATCAAGACAGCAAAGGAAAACGGTCAGTGGACTCGGCACGCTCCAACTCCATTGATGCGCATATCAAAAATTGTCCTCCAACCAGGACTTATAAGGAGCAAAGCGGTGTAGAAAGCCCAAGAGGCGGTGATCCAAAGAGCAATCAACCTTTGCAGTCCAACTCTTCACCCACACTCCACCAACTTGTCAAGGTAGGTGCATATCCTTTGCAAAGAGCAGCGGGTTTTGCCGGCTATCTTCGATCTCGATCAAAGAGAATGAGTAATTTACTGGCCACTGAGTCTATAAGCTACGTGGAGAAGATGTCCGGTATCTGGGCCGGAGGCCGGAAACACTACAGTGATGCAGAAGGCGTCTTATCCGATGATCGACTTCAGGATCTTGATGATGAGAACAATCCCACGAAGTATGGTGACCGCTTTAGGGAGCATTTCGCACTACCAGCATCCGAGAAGCTACAAGCAACTTACTTCGGGTATTTACAGCGTGTGCTACCTCTCTATGGCAAGATATATGTCAGCAACAAGAACGTCTGCTACAGAAGTCTTCTCAAGGGTACCAGAACAACGATGGTGCTGCCGCTTAAGGACATCGAGACTGTGGACAAGGAGAAAGGCTTTAGGTTCGGCTACTCGGGGCTTGTCATTGTCATCCGTGCTCATGAAGAGCTCTTCTTTGAATTCTCTCGGCCCGAAGCCCGAGACGATTGCGCAGTCACCATCTTGGAGAGATTGGGGTCGATTGGTTTTTTGCAAGACTCCGGGTTGTTGACGCAAGAAGACAAGGGAGAAGCCGAGACAGCCAAAGCCGAGAATAAGATGCTACAAGAAGCGAGGCAAGCCGGCCATAAGACCCACCAGCTCAAATCTCCAGAGAGAATGAATTATGTCGAGCATGCGCAAGAAGCACCGCCGATGTTTTTTGACGACCCTCAAGCATCGATCCTCAATTTCAAGCCAACCGAATCTCTTCGAATCACATGTCTTACCATTGGATCAAGAGGGGACGTCCAACCGTATATTGCCCTCTGCAAAAGGCTTTTGGAAGAGGGACATAGACCAAAGATTGCAACCCACGCAGAGTTCAAAGGTTGGGTCACGAAGCACGGAATAGAATTTGCGACTGTCGACGGTGATCCGGCTGAGCTGATGAGGATTTGCGTGGAGAATGGAATGTTTACGTATTCCTTCCTGAGAGAAGCTTCCGTTAAATTCCGAGGCTGGATCGACGAGCTTCTTACATCAGCCTGGAAAGCTTGCCAAGATACAGATATACTCATTGAGAGCCCTAGCGCCATGGCCGGCATCCATATCGCAGAAGCTCTAGGTATTCCCTACTTCCGAGCTTTCGCCATGCCCTGGACACGCACCAGAGCTTACCCTCACGCTTTTGCCGTCCCCGACCACAAGATGGGTGGCGCATATAACTATCTCACCTATGTCATGTTCGACAACATCTTTTGGAAGTCGACAGCTGGCCAAATCAATCGCTGGCGCAAGAAGGAACTTGGGCTTCGCAGCACCAGTCTCGATAAACTGCAACCTAACAAAGTTCCCTTCCTCTACAACTTCAGTCCTTCCGTTGTTGTCCCCCCGCTCGACTTCAGCGATTGGATCCGAGTCACAGGATATTGGTTCCTCGACGAGGCTTCTGATTGGTCGCCACCGCCCGCCCTCATCGAATTCATCGCGAGAGCGCGGGCCCATGAGAAGAAATTAGTTTACATCGGCTTTGGCTCCATTGTCGTCTCCGATCCCGCTGCTCTGACAAAGACTGTAGTGGAATCTGTATTGAAGGCAGATGTTCGCTGCATCCTCTCTAAAGGCTGGTCTGACCGTTTGGGCAACCGGGACGCTACTGTCGCCGAAGTGCCTCTTCCTGCAGAGATACACCAGATCACGTCCGCGCCACATGATTGGCTGTTCAAGCAGATCGACGCAGCTGTTCACCACGGTGGTGCTGGTACAACGGGCGCTAGTCTGCGCGCCGGACTACCCACGATTATCAAGCCCTTCTTTGGCGACCAATTCTTCTTTGGATCCAGGATAGAGGATCTTGGTGTGGGCACATGCATGAAGAAGGTCAATGTCAGTGTGTTCTCGAGAGCATTGTGGGAAGCGACTCACAGCCAGCGCATGATCAGCAAGGCGCAAACCTTGGGGGAGCAGATTCGCAAGGTAAGCCACATACCCTGTTTGGATCCTTTCCTTTCTCAATTGAACGCACCGCTAACCGATCCCAGGAAGACGGCGTAGGGACGGCAATCAAAGCCATTTATCGTGACCTGGAATATGCAAAAACCCTGATCAAGCATCGCACCGATTCGGCTAATGATGATACGGCCGACGGTGCCAATGAGGAATGGACATTCATTGGTGACGAGAGTGATCCGGAGTTGGCAAGACGGATTGCAGAGTGGGAGCCTAGAAAGAGCCTTCAGGTCGGAGAGGGAATGGGAAGGCAAAGTCTAGATTTGGGGGCCTGAGTAATTGTGGTTGATGGTGTGGTAGTCTCTGGGATGAGGTCGTCGGGTAGCAGGCTTGCTTTTCATGGAATTACTGTAGTATTTTGAGCGAGCGGGAGCATTGCCCTGGATAACGATGGAATGATGGAATGATGGGTAGAACAGGAACATCTGCGGATAGGGTGACGGCGTCAAAATAAAGTAGGTTTATGCCTCTCAACTCCATCACAGGATCTGCCATATGGAATATAATGTCACAAACTTGCTATCTCCGGACCGTTTCGGCGGATGACTAGGATGAGAAAAACTTTGTTGGAGAGAGGTCGTCTTTTGGTATCAAGACTCAATGCATGCATGCTTTCAATCATGCCACATCGGGCACGCCAGAATCGCTAAAGTATGTACACACTGAATGTTATTCATGCACGAGCAACAAGGGCGATGCTAACCCTCGCCGTGGTCTTCACTTCCGTCCTTCTCCAATTCTCTCTCCAATTCATCCTCAAACTCGCTCCACCCATCTCCCTCCTCTTTTTCCCCATTCACTACTGCTCCAACTCCAGCCTCCTCCTCACCATCATCTTTCTCATCCTCGTCCCCGTCAGGCTCGGCCATAGTCGTCTGGCTCAAAGATGTTAGGCCATTCCCAACCGCTTGCTTCTTCTTCACCTTTCCAGCGTTGCCATCTTCACTCTCATCACCGCTATCGTTCTCCTCTCTTCCTCTCTTTTTACCGCGCATCCCCAGCTTCCAACTACCTTTAGTATCCCTACTAGCGACGCTGTCTCCGTCACTGTCTTCGGCGTCACTACCTAGGAACTCAGCAAGCTCGTCATTCATGCCGCTCCAATCCTCATTCGTACCACCAACGGGGCTAGCTTCATCCACGTCAATTTCCGCGAGAGCGACATCTTCGAAGTCAGATTCGTCCGTGTCGACATGACTTTGGTTTGGTTTGGTTTTCAGGGTGAGTGTGGGCTTGGATGGCCTACTACTGGTGTCCGTTTCCTCTCCACTTTCGCTGGCAGCGGGTGATTCACTCTCGCTAAGAATATCGTCGTCATCTTCGTGAGGACCGTTCTTTTCTTCTGTATCAAGAAGATAAGGCCTCTCGTCTACTTTCGACCAGCGGTGGATAGAGTCTGTGAGCCACTGGGGGTTGACAATTTTGATCCTGCCTTTGCCTCGTTTGATCGCTTTTCTGACTTTCAGGGTTCGATTTCTTGCCGCAACAACATGCGTAGTCGACCTGCCAACATTTTCCTCGATCCGAGCGCCGAAGCTTCTTGCCAGAATCGCTGAATCAGTGCTTCCAACATCCACGCCTAGAGGAACAACACCTGAAAAGACGATAACAACTCCGGCGAGGACTTTTGATTTCACCGAGGGCAAAACTGTCTCGATGTCCGGCACGAGGTCCAGATCGGATTTCTCGCTTGGTAACTTGCGTTTCTGCCCACCTCGGAGTTGCCCCAGACGGCCACCTTGCGCGTCGGATAGTCGGCGGTAATAGATGTCGTAGAACTCGGTGTGGACTTTATGGAGAGACTCTTCGAGCTGGAAGAGCTCACGGTCGTGGTCATGGAGGAGGTTATGCTTCGGCTTGTCTGGTTCACTAGAATCGTCTGAAGAAGGAGATGCGTTGCCAGAATCTCCATCTTCCTTTGCTGCGGCGGACCCTGTCGCAGCATCTTCCGCCTCTAATTGCTTCTGCTTCTGGAGCAAGGGCCGGTCCTCAAGTTGAGCCGCTAAAGCCTCATCCTGGCGGGTTGTTTGCGCATGCCTTGTCGCTGGATCATTACCACCACCCATCGCTACTAGCTGCTCCAGTGCTGAGACATTATTGGCTGCTGGAGCCTCCGACTCTCCAGCAGATGGGGTCGCCAGTTCCTGACTTGTATTGCCGTTGATTGTAGGCTGAAGCTCCTCCTTGGTAGCACCTTCAGTTTGATCGTCACGGGGCTCGGGGCCTGCAATGGCCGCTGCCTTCTGCGACGGTTTCGGTCCAGGCTTCTTGGGCAAGAAGCTGGAATTAATGTCCCCGATACCGACGAAAAAGTCATATGGTGTAACTTTGATAAGATTCGGACTCCATTTCCAAACGTCCCCCCTGTCGTCAATGATGACTACCATCTTTGTATCCACGGGGAAGAGGCGTTGCAGATTTTTAGCAGTGGAGCTTCCACTCTCATCCCGAGACAGTATTCGATCGCCAAATATTTTGTGCTCGGGATCTATTATGTTTGCAATATTCTTCGCGTAGGCCCTTGTGCCCATGGTGTAGATGTGTAGCTCGTATATCTTTGAAACATTTTCCAAGAAGCCTTTGAGCCCAGGACGAAGTTTGATATAGTACCAACATCCTCTATTTCCCGGTCCATCGTCTTTCAGGAGGAATGCGCGAACGTCTTTGACCGCGTCGTGGTTTGGGTTGTGCCCATCTTTCTGCCAGTCGGCGACCGTAGGGTCAACTGTAGCCTGAATGATGGTCTGGTCTAAATCGACAACGAGGGACAGTTTTTTCGAAGCTAGCAAACGCCTTTTGGCTTCGTCATCTGCTCTTGCTGCTTCATTTTCGCTGATGGTGAGCGAGACATTGTTGTGAACCATATTTATTGTCGCTCTCGAGGAATCGAGTTGCTCGGTCACATAGGATGACCTTTGAAGATGAGGGATTAGCATTTGCCACCATGAAGCTTGCAATGACAGACGGAGCTTTCCGTGACTTACTCTCTCATGTCCTTGCCGCAGGTAACGCACATTCCACCAAACTGGACGCTGTGCGCGCATGGTTCCTCGATCTCAGCTATATTCACACTTGAGTACGAATCAGTACATTGAAGCCTACTAGGCATAGATAGTGGACTGCGTACTTTGGCTTGGAGATGACCGCGCCCTCGTCGATTTTCCAGTTGATGAGCACGCCCTCGACGCTGGATTCAAACCTAGTCGGGTATTTCTTCAATGTCTGCCATGTATTACCTAGACTATCACCTTCTGTCACCTCGGTCTCATAGACGTACGAGAAGAGTGGTGCGAACTTGTCGACATGGTCGTTGGGTTGCTTAAGCAGCTCGGTGACGGTGATTGGGTAATGAAGGCTAGTGGGGAGTCGCAGCAGCATTGATTATGGATATTTGGACGCGCAGGCTTTGAGTGGTCATGTGTACAGAAATTTACGTGTTTTTGTGGTTTTTTCTATTCGTTTGTCGGACCTTTCCCCCCAGCATGCGAAGTCAGGTGGGGTGTCGTGTGCTTTGTTTGAGCGGGGGTGAAGGTGGACATGGAAAACTTGCGCCAAAGGTGGCTGGTAGGTGGAAGAGAGGGAATAGTAAGTCAATGTATGTGAGGAGGAAGAAATGATGCTTTGTTGTCTGGTTATGTCGGTGTTGTGTGGAGAGCTGGGTAGCGAATTTAGCAATGCGCGAAATGCTTGATACCGAAATACCTACGGGGAGACAATAAGTACAATTTCTTGGCAAAGAATTATTCTGACCGCAAAACGACCGGAGTGGATCGTTCTTTAAGTAGTTGCCTCTTTTTGAGCCTCTGGATCGCTATTCCCAAAGCGGCTACTACTCCCGCACAGCCGAGGTGCATCAGAAATGAGATAAGGTAAAGTACTTCAAGGTAGACCTTGAACACTTTACACCAGATACTGTACTCACTCATACACCAACAGACCAGTCAGGCAAGCATCGTCTTCCTCAATCATCTTTCAATCGTGACTCTGGCCAGCCAATCTTTAATCTTGACGACTGATCTGAAGCATAAGAGCTGGGGTAACATGATTCTAACGCTTCATCTCTGGCTTATGGAGTCATGAGGATACTTAGCAGGCAATCGGATGCGCTGGACTAGGATAATGGGTCAATGGGTCAATGGGTCAATGTGGGAAGCTTTATTGCAAGCTACAGCTCTAGATGCCGCTTCAATTCAAATATCATTTTCCATTCTCGCCAAACCCTCTTCTTAACCATTTGGCAGTCTTTTCTTCTTTCCATCAACTTCCTCCCCAGACTCCGCCTTCTCCTTCCTCTTCATTGTGACATCCCAATTGTACACTCTTGCCGTTGCAACCTCCAAGGTCTGTAACCAGGAATCAGCTGGAGTGATCCCCTGAATAAAGTCAGAGCTCTTACGGTGATCTGCTCTCTTAGGAAATCCAAATCTTCTTCGCAATTCTCAAGCGTGTGCTGCGCGCCGGACAGCTTTCCTTCCAGGAGCGTCTCCGCTTCTACGATTGGATATGCGAGCATCACATTTGCACCCAACCACAAGTAGACCTCTTCCGTAGGTGGCACGAGCGCTTTAGCGTAAAGAGTATCGTTCAGCTCGAATGTGGCTTCTATGGCATCCGAGTCTGGCTGCACAGCGAAATTTGAGAAATTTAGTCATCAAGGACATCGCCCAGACATGGAACAGACCTTTCGGGTCTTCAAAAACCGTACTGTATCCAGTGTCTTCTGTATGTCTGGTACTTTCTCATCTAATCCAGCCTTTCGCCTTTGTGTGTTGGCTTCCATAAACTGGTATTTGCTAGATTGCGGAAATCAATCAACATCTTTCCAGTCACAGAATTGAAAAGTGCGTACGATATCATCTCCTGAAAACTTTTCATCGTCCCATCTACTTCCGCTCTTGAGGAAACATAGTCCTCGACCTTGTCCACGAAAGGCGCATAAGGGATACCTCGAGGATTTGTCTGTGCATCTTTGCTGTAAGGAGGTCGAGAGTCAGTATACGATTTGGAGACAGAGTTTGTAAAGAGAGTGCGTACCCTTGCGCCTTGCTTGACATATCCTCTTAATCTTGAAGTTGGCAAATCACTGTTAGAAATTCGACATAATGTAAGCCACATTCGGCCGTTGAGACGGCCCGCATGCGCGACGCTACCCCTCTTTTCTTAATCATTGGGAAACACAGTTCCCGCGAGCACCCCATATTATAATCTTTATAATATCTTCTAATAATGAAAAAGTTTCAGAGAATTATAATCATCATTGTGAATTTATTCCTAAAAATTCTAATTTTCAATTTTCGCGGGGGGGTAGGTGCTTGCGGGAACTTTTTTGTTTCCCAATGATTAAGGACAAGTGCTAATGATCTCAGTACTTTAACATTGATACAGTTACTTTACTAATGCACGTCGCAAATCATCATTGACCATGGATGCGTTCGAGAGTTGTTTCTTGTTGGAGCATTGTTTCAATTTTCAAGTTGCCAACAAGCGCTGCAGCAACATTATTGACAAGTGAGAATCTACGTGATGCTTTTTCGTCCCAGCATTCGTTGTCGCCAACCTCAATCTGGGCCAATACTCTTTTCCCCTCGTTTCATCATCTCTTCTTCTAAAACCCTATACCTCCCAATCCGCAATTACGCCACTCCGCGCGAATGTAAATCTAAACCCAGAGTCCCACTTCAACGCTCTCAGGCAGCATCTGTCGCCCTCAATCCTCCTAGCACCACACATCCACCCCCTTTAAGCCTCCCCGAGAAGCTTCCCGACCTCCCAAGATACAAGAACTACTTCCGTGTCGGCAAAGCTTACGGTGTCTTCTACAAAACCGGTCTCAAGGCCATTTGGACAAACTACAAGCTCGCCCGAGCCCTTCCTAACCATATCTTCTCCAGTGGCCAAGCTAAAGTTCATCAAGCCGTTCGCCATGGTCTACTGTCGCGCGCGGACTTTCAACTGATCCGCCGTACTCGACGTGACATCAACAAAGTGCCACTGTTCGCACTGATATGGCTCATTTGCGGAGGGTTTACCCCGTTGATCGTTATTTTCTTCACCGGGGCTGTCCCGCGAACTATATGGATTCCCAAGCAAGTGCAAAAAGCGCGCGAAGAAGCGGAGAGACGGAGGTCAAAGAGTAGGAAAGAAAGCGTATTTCTTTTTGCCGGCCCTCCACGGCGATCCGACATAGAATCAATGCCCGATGAGCCCCAGCGTAATGCCTTGAAGTCCTACGCGCAATCGTTAGGCTTGTACCCTGCTTGGTGGGATCGCTGGATCCCTACTCTGGTTCCGACGTCGTTGATTAAGAGGAGAGTATACAGGAGGCTTGGAGAACTGGAAGTGGATGACTTCGCTATCGAGAGGGACGGAGGTGCAGGGAAGATGGCAGGAGAAGAAGTACGGATGTATGTTATACTTTCCGAGGCAATTCTAGCCCATTGATGCTGTCTTATGAGTCGTCAAACATGCCTAATGATTTCTCTGCTCCTAAAACATGGCTCGCGACTCAGGGATCCTCCAGGAAGAGTAATGCTGACTCCGAAATCACCAAGGGCTTGTGAAGAGAGGGGAATCGATATTCTGAGAAAGGAGGAGAGAAACCTGAGAATGGACCTCGAGCGGTGGATGGAGCGGGGAGAAGAAAGGGATAAGAATGCAGACGAAAAGATCAGATATTCAATTGGGACTGGGAAATAGCGAGGCACGCTCTCTCGGCGAAGAGGTGTACATATCATCTTCCAGGTGTTGGAAGGATCCACAGATCTCGGGTGTTAGTAGGGTTAGACGGCTATTCTACTTAGACCTAGGTAAGCATCGCTGCAAAATAAAGACACTCGGAGACCCCTAATGATATCGAGCTGATCTTGATATCTACGCTTATGACATACAAGACGTGATGACTGATGACTGAGTTCTGTTGACAAATGACGACCATGCCGTCTTTGAAAAGTCCGAGACCATGTGAGACCATCTATCATTGCTTCGAAGGACTGTTGGGATCCCGATCATTGTACTGCTGGACAACGTCGTCAAGACATACCTAAAATGGCACCGTAATGCGCATATGGAGCATGTGCTAGGTTTTGATCAACATTCACAATGCAAGCCCCACGCTACTGCTGATATTTGGCGAGCTGGGCCATGATGTCCTGTACACTCTGCTGCTGGCCTGATTGCTGATGCTGTGCTTGCGTGCGTTGAGAAGAAGGTCTGCCGTGAGGAGTGTGAAGGAGAGATGATAGAGCTGGGTTGTTGGTGAAAGTTGGATTGGACAAAGGGCCAGAAAACGCGTTCTGTTGTTGCGGAGGGCCTGCGGGATATTGATATCCCTGTTGTGGTGGTTGCTGAGGGGCAATATTGCTTAATAGAGAAGCCAGACCTTGAGATTGTCCTGGCTGCAGAGGCGGCGGATTTGGCTGAGAATTTGTGGGTGTCTGAGGATTCTGCGCCATTGCGCCCAGAAGCTGCTGAAGTGAAGACCCGTCAAGAGAAGTGATGAGGTTTGCGAGATTAGCTTGTGCACTACCTAGTGGAGCCTGCTGTGGGTGCACGGGTTGTCCCTGGTGAAGATACTGTGGTGCACCATACGTAGGGCCACTGGGGTACTGTGTGGGCGCTGGTACAGGCGCTAGATGTGTCGACTTGGCTCTTACGACAAGTTCAGCAGCAACGTTAGCCTGTAGATCTTCGTACTCTAGGGAGTTGTAAGCGTGACAGTCAGTTTACATGGGTCTAAAGAATATGTTACCATCGAATTGAATGTTGTTCACCCCCAGGCTACGATTGAAGACCTGCAACGGGATCTTTCCAGTATTCTGTGATTTTCGGAAAATCTTAACCACCGCTTGAACCCCTTCAACCATCTGTCTTTTGACGACTGCTGCAAGAGAGACTCGAGGTAGCTGAAGTAAATCGCAACGGAGCCCGCGATCACGGAAAGACTGCTGGATGTAGGCAACAAACGTCCTAGGTACGATAATTAGCTGTTGTCCTAAGAAAGAACCGGCCACAACGTACCTGTCAACTTCGTCCACCAGGACCAATTGAACATCTGGCACGTCTCCAGGATTTCTTCGAGGTATTGGGAGGTCTGCTTCGTCATCCAGCTCCCTTGCCCTAGGGCTCCGGCTTCGATATCGCCCACCTCTATCATACGGAGACCTTGATCTGCCACGGAAGTACCGATCTGGACTTCTGTCTCTGCCGCCTCTGTAATCATCTCGTCCACGAAAGCCTCGAGGCGAAGGAGAGCGCAGTGGGCGGTAATCGTCTCTCATACGACGCTCAAAAGGGTTAAGAATGCCGCTTCTATCGTATCGATCTCCGCCAGAGCCAGATCCTAAGCCTAACCCACGTACAGGTCCACCCCTTCCATAATCTGGTGAACGTGATCTTCTGTTGTGTCCTGCCCTCAGGCTGTCCCCAGCAGCTGTTGCAACGGCGTTGCGGGTGTTCTTTTGGGGTTTCGATATCTCGAGATCTAAAATTATGTCAGCGCCAAGAAGTATGTTCTGGACTTGACCCTCTCTTACGTATCTTTCTCCCTTTGATCTCAATAGCTTGCTCAGATTGCAGCGCGTGGAAGCAAGCGTCAGCGTCATGGTATTGAACAAAACCATATGCGCTTTTCATAGAGATCTGGGCGATCCTGCCGTACTTGTAGAAGACATAGAAGAGATCCCGCTTGGTAACTTTCTCGGTGTACAGATTGCCTATTCCGGAGTAAGTATACGGAGGTAGATCGGCCCTGAGAATAGCTCAAAGCTCACCAACGAACAACCTAGACCCCTGCGGAAACCTATCCCATGTACCCTCGGATACATAGATCTCCTCGTCGTGCAGAAACTCCTCATATTGCCGTTCAATTTCTGGTTTGCGTGGATGTTCATCTTCGGCCTCTTTTGTTGACGTAGCAGGCTTTCCTCCATTCTTTCCATAATTGTCCCTCTGGCGATACTGCGAGGTTTGTGGACTACGTTGTGGCTGGTTGGGTTTGGACAGGGACTGCTGGAAGGTGGCCAGGGGTGGAGGAGGGAGACCATTGGGGGCAACACCGTTGCTATGAGGGTAGCCTTGTGGGGGTCGGTATGTACTACTTGGCTGGGCATTGTATGAAGTAGGGGCGTTGGAATTTTGCGGAGGTGGTTTATGGTATGATCGGATGTCCTCTCCAGGTGTATAATTAGGGTGGATGGCAGGCTTTTCTTGCGGCGGTGGGCGTGGAGGGAGACCAGCTGGGATGGGGAGGGTGGCGATGGGAGTCTGGGCGCTGCTTGGACTGGGCGCATTGAATATGCTTGAGGGAGCAGTAGTAATTGAGGAATGATTTTCTGCTGGGGGAGCAGTGGAGGCGGAAGAGGATATATTGTCCAACAAAGCTTGATAGTTCACTCCATCACCATTTACATCTGAGTCGGATGTCCGGCCGTGAATATCAGAGTCTCCAATGACTTCAGCAACTCCAGCATCAGAATCTTGGCTCACAGGCACAACGTAAGAACGTTCAGTGGAATTGGAATCATCTTGGAGGATATTTGAGCTGGGCTTGTAGCTTTGGGGCTGGGCAAGATATGTAAAGTTAAGTTGCGTGTTAGTCGATAGAGGTTCAGCGGCGCCGATAGGCATAAATGGCCGAGCGATCGTGGTCAAATGGTTCTTTGAAGTTGCAATCTTGGAAAACTCCGGAGTCCCATTTTCAAGGTTCTCAGGGGGTTCACCACTGCCGTTGAAGTTGGATCCTATTTCCAAGTAGTCACGTGTCTCTTGATCGGTATTGTCAGTAAGAGGCTCCGCGGATTCTGTTGCCCTTGGAGTCATCTTGGAAACGTCTTGGGGGAGACCATTGATCCCCACTGTAGCTGAGACCTGGGATCGATTGGGAGCTTCCATATGCGTGGACATCTGATTGAATGCTATATCATTTTGATTCTGCAAGACCGGTATGTTCTGAGGTTCTGGAATATGAACCGGGACAGGACTTTCTGGGGTCAGGGCCTCCGTTCGGTAGTGTGGCGCCTCGGATGGTGGACTGGAAGTCATAGGTGAGAAGGAAGGGAAGAGATCAGATTATTGATGGGTCAGCATTTACTACAGGAGTGGGCAAGCAGGGCGTGAAGGGGAGAAATCTAGCGATATTAAGACAGTGTGTGAATGTCGATAGCTTCATCACTGAATCAAACCCTTGTCAGGTCCGTCAAGTGAACGTTGGAAACGTGATTTGACGAGGTACACATTTAGAGGATATTTCCTGAATCCTGATGAGGTTCAAAAAAATCGAGCTTGTGGTACCTAAAAACCTAAGATAAATTTTCACTAGCCGATGATATGTTATGCGGCCAAACTTTATTCGGAATCCTAGCTCCATTAGCTTCGATGGTGACGTCGTTTTCCGTACAAATCAAGTACCTTGATGAATTTCCGCGCGTTTTGAAACACGTGTATTGAATCACGATTCACGAAGTGTATGTGTTCACCATCTTCGATACCATGGAAGAAAGTTAGTAGTGTAAAGTAACAGAATACGTTTTACGGTATAAATCTATGCTGAGCAATATTCGTATATACCCGGAAGTGCCCGATACCTGGTAATGCCCGATTTAAAATCCGATAAGTCCGGCGCAACACCAAAATATGCGCATTATTTTTGATTTTACTACATATCTATCTGAATAAGACGTTACACTGTATCGAGGCCCTATGATGCAGTGGAATATCATGAAGGATAGCCTACTTATTTGTGGCTAGCCACTAGCTTCGCTGGTAGATAAGTTCAAACGTAGGCTCCACCACAGGCTCCACCACAGGCTCCACCACAGGCTTCACCGCAGTAACAACAGCGGGGTGGAAGAGGTGGAAGAGGTGAAAGAGGTAAGAAGATATTTAAAGAAGATGTAATAGAAGAAGATGTAATAGAAGAAGAGGTAGTGGAAGAAGACGTGGTAGAAGAAGAGGTAGCGACGGTTTTTCACGAACCGGTAGACCGATAAGGCCCAGAAAACGATAAATTGGGTTCTCAGATACATCAATATTGCTAGCAATGGAAGTCCAGTATTGTCCTTCATGATTATACCGAGTTGCCATAGAATTATGGTGAAAGGTAGGCATTTTGGTGTTGCGCCGGACTTATCGGATTTTAAATCGGGCATTACCAGGTATCGGGCACTTCCGGGTATATACGAATATTCATCACACGTAATACCCACGCGGGTGACAGAAAAGCCTGGACACTAACCAAATGGAGATTACGGCCTTTTCCCACCAAATTTCTATGCGTAAATACCATGTTTTTCCATTGATAGCCTGTCACTTATCCATCACCGTCTAGAATAGCCTGGATCCTTTCAGGTATACTAATTACACACTCATTTATGAACTAAGAGGGGGAAATTTGGGTGTGAAATTGTATGTGGGACGGCCCTTGATCTCCTAGCTTAATGCAGGTTAGTGTCCAGGCTTTTCTGTCACCCGCGTGATACCCTACTCCGATCTTTGGCTGCGCGTCGTTCACCTTACCAGAATTCCGAACCACGCGAGAAAAACTGGGCCACGGACCCCGCCCCGGGTTGTGTCTTAATTACTTTGGTGTAGCCATCGAAATCAGGCAGAGTTCAGAACGCATCCAAGGTCTTTGAGTTCTTATCTCCTTTTCCCCCTTCTTCCCCGTTGTTGTACTCTGCATTCCCTTCATATACAGCGGTTGGTGTACTTAAGCATAGCAGAAGAGCAGAAGAGCGAGTGAGAGTCCTCAAGTGAAGGTGAAAGTGGTCTCGTGGCTTCCCGCTCAAGGGTTCTCCCAACCAAATTACGAGTAATGCTTGAATTAACATTTACTCATTACATGGCAGCTACCCGATCTTAGGCGAACGACTAGATTAAGTCTATCGAGAAGTCCTTCCAGAAGACAAAGGCTCATCAAAATGCATCTCCCTCGATGTCGGTGCTTCTCCTCGACAAACGAAACGCCCTACGAGTATGACATGCAGTACCTCGAATGCCTATGCTGTTCTGTCTCCTACCCAGTCAACGACTCGCGGTCAGACTTTCTTCTTGATATTCAGACCCTGCAGACTAGCCCTAGCCGCTACGAATATGCACGAACCGGCCGCCATCAGTACACCTTTTCAAAAGTTAGATTTCTTAATTTGGAAAGAAGAAACAAGAAGAAAAAAAGAAACGGGAATATATCTACCACAAAATATCTGAACGTGTAAATAATGCCCTCCTTCCGCAGCTATGAGAGCCCCGCCTATTGGAGTTCCCACGAGGGCGGCAATACTGATGATAGCAACTACAACCCAGTCAGCAATTCTTCTTCGGACGGTCTTCGAAGTTGTACATGTTTCTAGGGTAACTTGATTTTTGGCTGCCCAGACCATTCTCTTTACTCGAATTGCAGTACTTCGGAGAGGTTCAAACTGGGATCACTTACACATTGTTCCAGTCCTTACACCAATCTGACGAATGTCACTGATTTGCGCTATCAAGGCGGGTGCCAAAGCGACGAAGGCTCCAGAGCTGAAGCCGTAGAATGCAGCGAAGAGTATGTAGGCTACGTTGCCACGGGCAGGTAGCCAAAGAGCGAGAACCAGAATTGTCGAAAGGAAGATGTGATGATCATAACATTGTATCTACCCAGGCGGTCGGCGACGAAGCCAGGGAGCGTACGCCCGAATATTGAAACGGCGTTGAGGACGGCGACCAAGTACCCGGCCAGATTCGCGCTCATTCCGTTGGACTCGGCGGAAAGTATTATGAAGTTGAATGGTAAGAACATGCCGAAGAAAAAGGCGAAACTTGCTAGGACTGTGAGTAAGAAGGGGACTTCTCGGAGAGGCTTGATGAATTTCATGATATTCCAGGGTTTTGGCTGAGGTGGTAGGCGAGACTTCACAGTGAGATTGGCGTATATCAATAGGCCAAGGATTAGGAATGCCGCCGCCCTTATAGACCACCTCAAATCACGCTCTGCCACGAGTCCTTTGACCATGATGGGGAAGATCGCCTATATTTCAATCAGCTTCTAGATCTCGAACCCGTAGTATGGTCAAAAAAAGAAATTATACCCCTCCAAGAGAGCTGCCAGCAGCCATGACGCCGAAAGCGAAGGCGCGCCTTTTGAGGAACCAGGTGCCTATCGAGTTGAGAGCAGGGTAAAAGACGAGTGACGCTCCGAGCGGTGAGCATATGCCTACGAAGTGTCAGGTATCATCGCATCTTTGCACCGAGGTCCTTGCCTTGAGATAACAGGAATTGGTAATACTCAGTAGATACCGACGCCGTCATCAGGCCGAAGACATGCAGGAAGGACCCAACTAGAAGAAGATATCGTGGGCCATGGTTGTCGTACATCTTTCCCCATACTGGACCCTAGCAAACAAAGAGACACGGAGAGCTCTCCAGAATCAATTCAAATACCCCAGCGAACATCATGAACGTCTCCGAGGCAGGGATCCAGGCTATCGTGCTCATAGAGTAGTGTGACAGTTGATGCGTCTCATAAAAGGCTTGGAAGACTCCAATGGCTGTAATTGGAGATCAAGTTAGCAACCGGCCAACGCCAGGGCACAAAAAGTGGATTCTTCACCATTAATCCAACCAAAACTACAGAATAAACAGCAAAAAGCCTGCAAGCCAAGCCTCCCAGCCGCCGTCCGGGAAAGCACCTGAGTCCATCATGCCTGATTTCGCCATTTCGTCCACCTTCGCCTTCGTCAGCCCCTTCTCGACGTTTTATTATAGACTTTATTATAATAATAATAATAAAATAAAGAGACAAAAGTAATAAAAGAGATAGAAGAGATAGAAGAGATAGAAGAAATAGAAGAAATAGAAAAGATAAAAGGGATAAAAATATAATTAAAGAAGATATAATAGAAGAAAAGATAGTAAAAGAAAACGTAATAGAAGAAGAGATAATAACGATTTTTTTACGAATTAATAGATTAATAAAGTTTAAAAAACGATAAATTAAATTCTTAGATATATTTATATTACTAGTAATAAAAGTTTAGTATTATTTATTATAATTATATCGAGTTATCATAAAATTTTGATAAAAGATAGGCATTTTGATGTTACGCCGGACTTATCGGATTTTAGATCGGGCATTACCAGGTATCGGGCACTTCCGGGTATATACGAGTAAGGCGTAAAATAGAGGTAGCAAAATCGGCGTTCGAGCTTTTTCCCTTTTACATTAATCGATCAACGATGGCCGGGGCGAGCGACAAAGCCCGTTTCTTTCAGGAACAGTCCGTTCCGGAGCTCCAGGAATTTGCACGTAAGAAAACTTTTAGCAAGGAAGAGATCGCTTCCATCGCACGAAAACGTTCCGATTTTGAGCACATCATCAATGCGCGAGGATCAAAGCCACAAGATTATGCTCGATACGCTGAATATGAGACGAACCTGGAGTCCCTCCGTCGAAAGCGTGTCACAAGACTGGGAGTCAAAACCAGCAATCACACTGGCCAGCGTCGCATATTCTTCGTCCTAGACCGCGCAACCAAGAAGTTTCCCGGCGACGTTGGACTATGGATGCAATACATTACGTTCGCTCAGAAGCAGGGATCGAACCAGAAAGTCTCGCAAATTCTTACGAGTGTTTTGAGATTGCATCCTACGAAGCCTGAATTATGGATTTATGCTGCCACAATGCGAGACGCCGACATGACGGAAGCGAGGAGCTACATGCAACGGGGCCTGAGATTTTGTGGAAGTAGCGAGAAATTATGGATTGAGTATGCCAGATTGGAGATGATACATGTTTCTAAGATTGCTGGAAGGAGGCGGATTTTGGGTCTCGATGGTGGGAAGGTAGATAAGAAGAGTAGACAGGACGCAGAGGGCGATGACGAGGACATGATGACTCTTCCCGCTATCACTGCTGAGAATATTATGTCGGGGCAGCGGCCAAGAGGTGGCGCGGAGCAGGAAGCGTTGGTAAAGCTGGGTACAAGTCCAGCATTATTAGGAGCTATACCGATGGCAATATTTGATGCGGCTATGAGGCATTTCAAGGAAGACAACGAACTTTGCCAACAATTCTTCGATGTGGTCGCCGAATTCCACGAGGTACCGTGTCAAAAAAGCATACTGTCCCACATGATGGACACTCTGCGTACGATTGCTCCAAAGAGCCCTGGAACCTTGATCCGTTGGATTCAGCAGCCAGTGATAGGGACTGACGTCAAGTCTCCAGAATTCCCGGCCCTCTTTGTTGATTGCCTGGATCGCATTAAGAGGTCCTTCGAGATACTGACAACCATCTCAACCCCCCCAAAGACGGCGCGACCTATGAGTATTCTTGGCCAACAGGTCATCGCCTGGATGCTGACGTACCAAAAAGAAGATATTGATGCTGACGTTCGTAAGGTGATAAGGATTACAATTAGGAAGGTGGAGTCAATTTCCGGCAGACTTTGAGCTTGGCACGGTTGGCTGAGGTTGCTAAGTTGCTAAGTTGGTGGCATTGCTCGATTGCATGGTCCCCAATGTGTTGCCAAACCAGCCAGAGCCTGAGTATGAGAAGTGTCTCTAAGTCTACCACAACCTCAATAATTTGACTTCTTTGAAAACCCTTTGCGAGCGGCTTTCTTATCTCCATGCGTCTTCTTAGACAGCAGTCGGATATCGTTTTCTTTCCGCTGCCTGCATAGCCGAAGAGTCAGCCAAGCACTTTGCCAAGCAAGTTGCAGTCAGAAAAGACAGACAGATTCTTGACCTTCTCTACCTGCGCTGGCGAAGTCTCGCCTCTGACGGAACTCCTTCCAGCCGCTATAATCAGAGCATGTAATTTTTTGTAGCATTCCTGGATATTACTTGTCCGATCCCGGCTTCCATCTCCCTGAATGACCAAAGACTTCGAGTTTTTGGCGTAGTATCTGGATGCTTCAATATCGGGATGCAGTATCTTAGGGACTAAGTGCATGAAGTCTTTTGTATGAATGCGCAATGTCGCTTTGGAGTTTACTCTACCAAGCTCTTTATTAGCATTGTAGGTGTTGTTGTTGAGAAGAAGGGCTCGCCTCATACTTGTTCACATTTTGCCCACCCGGGCCTGATGACCGGCTGAGAGTGACCTCGCAAACGGTCTTCGGGATCGTGTTTGCATCGAATCTTGCAAGCCATGTCCTTGCCTCCCTGTGGTCTTCTTCATCAAGTGTTTTAGCAGGACTAGAGAGGCAACGATGCCGAAACTTTGGGTGATGAGTAGCTCCCTCGACATTCAAACCTCTCAAAGCCCATATGCGACGTAGCATGCTTCATTGTGGTCCAACAACCACAGTGTTACTCGAGAGAGTCTCAATCAAGTCGATGAATTGGGGGTCGATTGCGCTCACGAGTAAGGGGTGCGCAAGAATTTCTGATGCCAAGCATTCGCAACGATACAGAATACAGTACGCTAATCTAACTTGGCACCACTCTTAGCGCAAACGCGTCTCTTCAATCGCGTTTTCTGTTTTCTCTGCGTCTTCGTTCCTGCTTTCCATGGCGCCAATGAAGCGGCAGCGATCAGTCATAGACGATGGAGACACCGAGATCATCGAAGTCGAGAGCGCTCAGTCGAGCCTCCAACAAGCCTCGGTTGGCTGCTTTCTGCCCCCGTGCGTAAAGGTGGAGAATGACTGACTGTTTACAGAGAAAGAAAGCACGAGTATCCCACGAAGAGCCGGACAATGTGGTATCGGACGAGGCGATGGACGAGGAGCTACTTGAAGCGCAGGCAACCCAATTGCGGAACAAGAAGCAGTTGGACAATGAACCTGCGGAAAACGGAATTCTTGAGACTGTCACTTGCACGAATTTCATGTGTCATGGGTATCTAGAGATTGGCTTAGGTCCACTCATCAATTTCATCATCGGGCAGTAGGTTCTCCCCGTCATGTTTACAAACGGACAACCCGGTTTCCTACTGCAAGAGGGTAATGCTAAGCTGGGAAATTATTACAGCAACGGGTCTGGTAAGTCGGCCGTATTGACAGCAATCACGATATGTCTTGGAGGGAAGGCAACAGCTACAAATCGTGGCCAGTCTTTGAAGAGCTTTATCAAAGAAGGCGAGGAGTAAGCAGATCATTGTGGCCAGATAATGCAATGTTAACACACTCAGGTCTTCCACGCTCAGCGTCAAGATCAAGAATGGAGGCGACAGCGCGTATCAACAAGAAATTTACGGCGAAGCAATCATTGTCGAGCGCCACTTCTCGCGTTCCGGAAGCAGCAGCTTCAAGCTCAAGAGCTCAACTGGAAGGTTGATATCAACAAGAAAGGGTGATCTAGAAGAGATCTGCGACTATTTTGCACTCCAGATCGATAACCCTATGAATGTCTTGACCCAGGATATGGCCCGGCAATTTCTCAATAGTTCAACTCCGCACGAAAAGTACAAATTTTTCATGAAAGGAACCCAGCTAGAACATCTAGATGGAGATTACCTCATTGTCGAACAAAATCTCGACACGATCGATCAAGACCTGTGGAAAAAGCAGGAAGACCTTAAAGTCTTCGAAGATCGAGCACAAAAGGCAAGAAACCTACTAGCATTGTCCGAAAGGCAAGACACGCTTCGAGATAGGATTCGCCATCTTGGCGAAATGATGGCGTGGGTCCAGGTCGAGGAGCAGGAAGAAAGATTGGCCGTGTTCGATAGAAAGCTCAGCAGGATTGACGAAAAGATTGCAGCCTCAGAAATGAAAGCTGCCGGCTTAAGTGAGGCTTTCAGCCAGACCGAGCAGTTATTTGAGAATGCGAACAGAGCTTTGGAAGAAACAACGAACACTCTTGCACCTCTGCAAGAAGAGAAGGGTCAGATGAAGAAGGAATTCGACAATTTGAAGGCCGAGGCTCTAACGTTACATGTAGTTCTCTTCTGCCCGTGATCATCCTGCTTACTGATAAACCTCTGTAGGCCGAGCAAAGACAAATTTCAGAAGAAATCAAGGCTGCAGACGAAAGAATCAAAAAGGCTGAAAGTGCTGTCCGAGAAGAGCACCAGAGGCTCAGCGACGCTGACGGCGGAAGTCATGACCTGCGGCGTGCTGAAATTGAAGAAAAGAGAGCAGAAGCTCGTGCCGCCAAAGCTCGATTCCGAGATCATGAGAACGAGCTCCCCGCTCTTGAGGATAATAGGCATCGTGCTGAAAAGGACCATAGAGAATCTCAAACCCCTGTCAAAGATAAGAAAATCGAGGTACAAATTTCCGAAGAGCGACTCGGCAGTCTAATGAGAGACAGAGGCCAGCAACAACAAGCATACCCACCAAATATGTCCCGACTTCTCAGTGCTATACGCCAAGACGACGGCTTCCAACAGCGACCAGTAGGACCTATCGCCAATCATGTGCGGTTGCTCAAGCCCCTTTGGTCTAGCATTCTGGAGAAGTCCTTTGGTGGAGCATTGAACTCTTTCATTGTCACAAGCAAAGATGACCAAATCAGACTATCAGGAATTATGCAGAGAATTGGTTGGTAAGACCCTTGAGCCATTCAAAATCACACTATAAACAGGCCGCTCATACGCGCAGTCCATGCTCAATAATCATTGGAAACAACAACGCCATCGACACTACGGACAAAGAGCCAGATCCCAGGTTCGACACAGCGCTCAGAGTTCTAGATGTGAGCAAACACCCATTTTTCGTTACAACGTTGCTAAGTCGGCTAGTTCGACAACCAATTGGCAAGGAAACAGCTCGTTATTGGCCAAAACGTCGATCAAAGTATCCTCATACAGGATCGTGGGACTGCAATTGACACGATGAACAGCGCAAGGCTACAGAACGTGAAACAATGTTTCGCACTTACTAAGAAGACTGGCGAAGGCCTCAGGATGAGTTACGGATACGGTGGTGTAGGTTCTTCTCCGTCAGTAATGAATATCGGTTTGCACGACATGATTCAAGAGCAATGCTGCAAAGATTCCCTAAGAGCTCGCTCCGAGTTTGCAAAATTGACGCTGGAGAGGCTTTGCTGATACAATTGCGCTCCAGGGGCTTTCACAGTCGCACGTACCGGCTTATAGGGGGTCTCCGCGAATGAAGACTGACATCGATTATCAGATTAAGTAAGCCTGTTATTCATATGTGCAGCAATAAAGTACTGAGATCTCTAGCTTCCAGCGTGACCTACTTCAAAGCCTCAGAGCGGAACTCAATCAACTTGAGCGTAGTTCGCAGGAGAAGCAGAAGTATCTTACTCGGTGCGAACAGGCTATCGTAAAAAACAAAAGGGACACGCAGCATCTGAGACTAGAGTTGCAGCAAGCCGAAAACATCGTGGATGAACTTCAGGACGCCCTAGACCAGGATGCTGTGGAGGAGGGGCGTCTAGATGTTTTGAAAGATCAGCTTACTGAAGCTAATGAGGAGAAGAGCACCCATGAAGCTTCTTATGGAGAGTCTGTTATCGCCAAAGACAAAAATAATGAGTTGTTAAGGGCTTCGAGAGAAAAATTGGCGAGCAAGGACGTCATTATTGAAGACGCTAAAGCAAAAGTTCTCAAGGCAGAGAGCAGGGCGACCAAATGCGCAAGTCAGAGGTCATCTGCACTCCGCGACAAGAATGCCGCGTTCGATTCGGTCGAGTCGGAGAAGCTAGAAAGAGAACAGTACCAAGGAGAGCGTGACGAAGAGTCACAGCGGGTTGATGAATTTACACGGAAAGCAAATTACTTCTGCCCTCGAGTGCCTGTGGACGAAGGCGAGACCGGCGACTCGATAGACCTCAAGTTGGATAAATTCAACAAAGACTTGAAAGACGCTGAGAAGCAGTAAGTCATCGATTAACCTCCGAGACCTTTGGCAACCCGTGCTCTGACAATTGCATAGAGCGGGAGGTAGCAGACAACAGATTGCCGCCGATGCAGTGAAAGTTCTTAATGCCCTCAATCAAGCGAAAGCGGAGGTTGAGAGTATTGAAGAACTTGCACAGGTCCGTAACCATAACTCTTTCTGACATTGATACTTATCTGACAACCCTCGTAGCTCTTGAAACATACGCTTGTCAATCGGAAAGACCGATGGAGGAGGTTTCAGAAACATATCACAAGTCGCGCTAGGGTTCAATTTTTCTACCTGCTCAGTGAACGCGGGTTCCGAGGCAAGCTGCTAGCCCATCACAAAGAGAAGAAATTGGATCTGATGGTATGAATTCCTCTGACCCGTGTGTCAATCTCATTCAGGACCACGCTAAGGAGCAATGACAGGTTGAGCCTGACGGGAGTGCTTTACGAGCCAAAGGGCGTGACACAAAGGGGTTGTCAGGTGGGGAGAAATCTTTCTCCACCATCTGCTTACTACTCTCTATGTGGGAAGGTAAACATTGCTCACACAAGCTTGTTTATTGCTCTGTCGACTGACTTTTCCTTGCAGCTATGGGGGCTCCCATCCGGTGCCTCGATGAGTTGTGAGTCATCCTTTGCTTTGGTAGTAACTCAACGCTCACAACCAGCAGCGACGTCTTCATGGATAGTGTCAACAGAGATGTCAGCATGGAAATGATGGTGGGACCAAGCCCCTGTTGCGTTTTTTCGGAAGAGGCTGACATCCGACATAGATCAAATTTGCAAGGGGGTCTCGTGGCAAGCAATTCATACTCAGTAGGACTTTCGCCCCATTCTCTGTCTCTTTAGACATCTTCGAGAAAGTTCCCGTACTCCAGTCTCATGCTTCACGACTCGAATTTCCGTTCAAGATGAGTAATTGCTGACCTGAACACTCCATCAGTAACGCCTCAATCGATGAGCAAAGTCTCCCCAGCGGATCTAGACGTGAAAGTGGTCAAGTAACTCTATCTCCATGCAGTGAGTTTTCGTCCATCTTGCTAATCAACGCGTAGAATGCGCGACCCGGAACGTGGGCAAACCCAATTGTCGTTCCCTCCAATTTGAGGGCCTCGGCCCTCCTTCTAGCTGGCTTTCGCGGTTCATAGCTGTTCTCTAATGTAGATACTGCCATACCGTGATTGCCCGCTCTGTACAACAGATTCTGCTGCAAGGTGTTCGCATGTTGTGCAAGAGCTCTTCATCCATCTGGACTTGAAGTCTTGACAAAGATTCTGGTAATTCTAATGTGTCTCGTTGTGAGGCTTTGAGCATCAGCACTGGAGCACCTGACTCAACGCAAGGCTCTCATTTGTCGTTAAGGCTTCTACACCCGTGGTTTTGCTCGCTGCCGCCAGTGCTCGCTCAATTCTGGAGACCAAGTCTGCACAATCTTCCAGACCAACGCTAATTCTAATCAAATCGGCTTCGACCCCAAATCGGGCAGTCTGGGTATGTTAGCAGTTGGTGCAGAGATCGAATAAACTATCACCCACCCATTCGAGCTCTCCATAATGCGCTAGGATGACATATGGCGAGCTATACCAATCAGTGCCCATTGCCCCCCAAGTTTCGCCATGGATATTACCTTAACGTGAAGTTCGTGCCCAAGCTCGGCCCCTTGGCCGTTTCAAGTTCATCAAAAAAGATCACCGCTTGCTCTGGTGTTCTCAAAGTCACTGAAAGAAGGCCTCCGTATCCTTTATCGGCGTTGCGATATTGATCGTAGAATTCCCGCGTCGCGCTGTACTTGGGATAATATACTTCCTTAACTATGCCCCTTGTCAGAGGAATATGACTCGCGATTGTAAGAGATAACATACCAATTGAAGCGGCCTTGAGTTTGTCGCATATTGCTTCTGCATTGGTGTTGATCCTGTCAATCCGTGAAACAAAGTCTCGACTGTTTCTCTCCATATAAATTGCATCCTCTGGCCAATAATTGTCCTCGTAATCTTGCTCCATTACTTCTTTCAATTCAACATAGTATCGGCTCTGCGGATTAAGGACAGAGCTGTTATTTTGTCAGTCAATTCCCGTGAATTATGCGCTGGATCTCACCTCCCGCCCATTACATTACATTCTCCGGTAAAGACTTTGGTCAGGCTACTAACAACCACGTCTGCGTAGGGTAGGACATGCACGTTGATGAAATTTCCAATCGTCTCATCAACAACCACGGCAAAATCAAAACGATCGGCAAGTGATCGAATCCGGCGAAGATCAGGAGTTTTCAGAAGAGGGTTGCCAGGAAATTCGCAGAAAAGAGCAAGGTATTTCTCACCAGCTTCACACCGCTGTTCCAGGTCGTCGAGGTCTGCAGATGATCCGTGACCGTAGAATAAGCACCCAGGACCCCATTTTTCCAGAATTTTCAGAGTATCGATATAAGGAAATCTACATTCAATCAGATTACCGCGGTCATCAAAACTTGGCAGGAGCGCCTACCCATAGCTGATGCTTTTTCTTGGGCCCCTGCAAGCCATCATGGTCCTGTGGGTGTTAAAGATTGAACTCATGCCGCAAGGATACAGGTATACATCGTCTTCTGAAAAGCCTTCGACGTGGGCTTTGCGAGCTGGCGGCTTTGACATCTTCAATGCTTCGTGTAGATCAACATTAGCAGTCAATGCCCCAGCAATACGTCTTCGTATCGCGAGCTTAGCGTTAGCCGCGAGAGACACATCAAGATTCCTTCCAAAACGCTCTTCAACAAATTGCTTTGAGTCTTTTCCTTCAAGGCCGTATGTGGCTTCACTTGTCTTGTGTGCAGACAGGTCCACGGAGTCTTTCTTTTGGTACCTTCGTGGTCCTTTGCTTGGTGATATGAAGCTATGAGCGTTACTTTTCTCGCATGCGACTCCCTTCGTCGTCAAGCGGCCCTCATTGAGAGCGTCATGACAGTATTCAGCTCGTCGACTAGAGATACCATCGCCTGAGTGTTGCCAGAAAGTCTTGGCAATCTTGGCATGATCTTGGGGAAACAAAACAGCCGAGACAATTGGCTTCGTGGATGCTCCATCGGAGTTCCCGGCACCATTTGGCAGACCAGCATTCGGATACAGATCAACGATCCGCACTGAGTGGGCCGTAAGGGACTGAACCTGGTCCCTCAGGAACTGAACACATCTCGCGGAGACGGCATGAGAAGGGAACAAGAATGCTTCCTCTATGGGGGAGCCGTGCCGCTGTACGATTGCCTCGGCGAATGCCTCGATTGTTTTATGAATGAAAAATCTGCAAGGCAGGCTCTTTAGAAGAGCGAAATCGAATGGCATGCTTGGATCACTGACCGGGGGTAGCCGGTTTTCATCTTGCTCAATACCCAATCTTCGCCCTCCTCATAACCAACATTGGCCTTCCATGTTGGCAAGGAAACGCTTACCGCCTTGTCGTGTGCGTCATAATCAGCGACGCTGAGTCGCATGTAAAGGAAAGATCACTCACGTGAGCCGTGTTAGGGGGAATTGACTCGCCGACCTCAAGGGACAGCATTTTTGCGGTGGTGGCAGTGGCCATGTTTGCTTAGAGAAAGTGAATCTATAAGAAAAATCGTCAAAACTTACAGACTCGCAGCCGAAAATCGGAGGACCACGAACTCAGGGTCCAGGGAAGTTCAAATACCGTAGGTACCTTATCCGACCACCACAGCCTTACAGGTACCTAAGGTACCTTAATTAGATACACCACGGTAGAATAACAGCGGAACGGCCCGGAAGATTCTGCGCCACCGGGCCCGACGCAATAATGGCTCCAAAATTCCATCAATTTTCAATGAGGGAATTTGAAGTAGCAGCGCCGTACAAAATACTGCTACACCATGGCATTCCCTGCAGTTAAGAAGAGGAAGGTGTCTCCCCTATCTGGAGGCGATTGCAATAATACCTACGCACAGGATGCCGGTGGCGATTGGTCCCAAGACTCATCCAATGAAGACAACGACTTTGTCCTAGGGAATGGAGCTATTCGAAGCGGTCACACCATAATCAAAGCAAAAAGAACCGCAAAAACATCATGGAGCAGCGGTACATATGATTCAAACATGTTCAAGCTGAAAGCGAATGAGCTCCTGGCAAAGGTGCGACCTAATGACGAAAGCCGCATGGTCAAAATGGAAAACTCTCTTCGCAAGCTCAAAGATGTCATAGAGCATATCCCTAATCGCAAAGCAAAGCCTGTATGCAATTCGCATTTCTCTCCCATCTAGTCCGTCAAATGCCTGATGTTTGCACAGATTCTAGATGCGGAGCGCGAACAGCTTAACTCCCACAAAGTCCGAATCCCATTCCCCCAACCCCGGCCCGCAATGGACGCAAAGTACACATTGACCTATTCCAAGCCAACGAATATCAATGTTGTAGGCAGTTATGCACGCAGGACAGCTATACAAGTGGGAGGGCAATTAGGGATCGATCTGGCGGTCACTATGCCATCGGTGAGACGGCTGCTTTGCCCGCTCCTTCTGGTTTCCCGGTTCTAATGCGCATAAAAGCATATCTTCCAAGAAAAAGACTATCTAAATTATAGGTATTTCCAAAAAAGGGCATACTATTTGGCCTGCATTGCCAGCGGTATTGAAGAAGCTCAAGAAGACGAATACGCTGTCGATTTTGCTCACCAGAATGACAACCATTTGCAGCCTATAATCGTTATCACCTTTCTGCAAGGTACTATCTCATGATTCTGAACCCAGGGACAGCTTTGCTCACTGCTCGCAGATGGTGGTTCAAAATCAAAATACCAGATTCGAATCATTCTGGCCGCTGATGGAGATTTATTTCCCATTTCCAAAACGCTGCCCGACAAAAACTGCATTCGTGCAACGACTAGTGGGGTCTCTTCTCCAGGTAGCAGCTTCAACATGCCAACGCCATTCTACAATGCGTCACTGAGATCCGAGTGCTCTTCTCTAGCCTATCTGAAGTATCTACATGCGTCGTCATTGCAGTCGGATGGTTTCTCTGACGCGTGTCAACTTGGTAGTGTGTGGCTGCGGCAACGTGGCCTGGGTCGAGAGTTTGGATCGTTCGAATGGGCCTGCACCATGGCTTTACTTTTGCAGGGGGGCGGCTCTAAAGGAAAGCCAATATTATCGCGTGGCTATGACAGTTACCAGCTCTTCAAAGCAATGTTGCAATTCCTGTCTTTCAGGGATTTGATAGCGAGCCCTGTTCTCGTGCATTCTGACAATATCACCCTTGTCGATCGTGACGGGCCAACGCTATTCGATGGCAAAAGAGGCATGAACATACTATTCAAAATGACGCCGTGGTCGTATGCAACACTGAAGCATGAAGCTACCGTCACACTGAAGCTGCTCAATGATCCGCTTTCGGACCAATTCGACGCTTGCTTCATTACAAAAGTCGACGATCTGCTGCAGAGGTTTGATTGTGTCATAGAAATGCGTACAAGCCGAGTGCCGAGACCAGCATCACAGATGGCAGATGCCCTCAACGACGAAACATATTTTTGTCAAAGACTACATGAGGCGTTGAGTACGGGACTAGGTGACAGAGTCAGACTACTGCACGTACAACCACCACCAATTCTTTCTTGGGACGCTACAACGCCACAAAACTCAACCAAGGGTCTCCGTCAAGTCCAGATAGGACTTCGACTTGACTCTGCGAATATCAGTCGCACTGTCGATCGAGGTCCTTCTGCAGAAAACAAAGTAGCTGCCGCAGAGTTTCGCAGGTTCTGGGGTGGCAAGGCAGAGTTGCGGCGTTTCAAAGACGGCAGCATCCTGGAAAGCTTGATATGGTCAACTTCAGATCCAATGGACAATGTGTTGAAGCAAATAGTGGCGTATGTTGTTCAACGGCATCTAGGGAAAGACGCAGCCGATAGTATCAAGCTTATTGGACAGTCTTTTGATCGCTTACTTTCCGGTCAGGAATCGGCAATGAACGATCCATCGACACTTTTCCGGCCTGTCATGAGTGCTTATGAGAGCCTAGAGAAAGACGTGAGGGCCCTTGAAGGCTTGCCGCTCCAGATTCGACAGATTTCTGCCGCGGATGCCCAGCTGAGATACTCGTCACTGAGCATTCCCGCTCTCCATCCTTCTCAAGGTCAGATGGAACCAGCAAATATCTGTGTCCAATTTGAAGGCTCCGCCCGGTGGCCCGATGATATCACAGCTGTCCAGACGACCAAAATAGCTTTTCTTCTCAAGATGGGCGAGCTTCTGGAAGAGTCGACCAGTGGTTTAATAGCACGAATAGGGCTACACAGTTGGAACCGAAGTCTTCTTAATGCCGCTTTTCTTGACATTCACTACCCGTCTGGGGCATTCTTTCGTCTCCACATTCACCATGAGCGCGAACTCAATCTCCTTGAGCGGGTTTTGAGAGACGCTTCGCACACCGCAGCGAGCCGAGAAGAGACCGCGTCCGCACTCTCGACCTACAAACGCGATTTCATCCACGCGCCCATCCACACCCAGTCTATGCGCACGCTGAGCACGCGCTTTCCACTCCTCTCGTCCTCCGTGCGCCTAATGAAGAAATGGCGGGACTCCCACATGCTCTCAAGTCATCTCAGCGACGAGTTGATCGAGCTTCTCACCGTCCGAAGTTTTGTGCATCCGTATCCCTGGTCTGTCCCTGGCAGTGTCATGACAGGTTTCCTTAGAACGTTGACGTCTGTATCAAAATGGGACTGGCAAAGCGAACCTCTGATTGTAGATTTCAATGGTGAAATGACTAGCTTCGAGATCGAAGCCATCAATCTGCGTTTCGAAGCGTGGAGAAAGATCGATCCGGCTATGAATCGAGTTGCTATCTTTGCAGCTTCGAATCTAGATCCCAGTGGGATCACATGGACTGAACTCGGCCCATCGAAGGTCGTAGCGGCTCGGTTCACAAGCCTGGCGAAAGCAGCGTGTGGCATGATGAAGGAGCAGGCGACGGATCTGGAACCTGAAGCGCTCTTTGTAGCTTCGATGTCGGATTATGACTTCGTCATTTACCTCAACCCGAGGTCTACCAGGATCAACAATGGAAGGAGAAGGCATTCAGTGTTTAAGAATTTGCATGTCCAGTCTGATCAGGATAAGAGTCTTTCCGGGGTGGATCCAGTACAACTGTTATTGGGCGAGCTGAGGGCGATATATGGCAGCAACGCTCTATTCTTTAGTAACGAGCATGAGGGCTCTCTTATTGCCGGACTCTGGAATCCGCAGACTGGACCGAGGCCGTGGAAGGTAAACTTACCGTATTCTACGAAGCCCGTTGTGCGGTCAGACGATGAGGGCTCTCAGCTTAATATCAACAAGACTGCGACTCTGCATGATATTGCGAGGCTTGGAGGGGACATAATATCACGCATAGAACTCAAGCGATGAAGTATGAGGCAATCAAGGCAGGATTATCCATTGAAAATAACCACTCTCAGCCGATCCATGCCCAAGGAAAGCAAGCAGATGTTCCTGGTATCGTTTTCCCGGCGCCCGCTATGTTGTATGCTACATTCGCTCCACATGATTTTATGATCAGATCCGAATCATCTGTTGGTCAATAACCTCTGACCCGAATTGTCTGGCACTTTCTGCTTGGAGAAAGCACAATATCTATCTTTAATCGAGACCACCTCGTACATTCCCTCGTCTGAAGCCCGAATTGTCTTGCTGTACTCGTGGGAGATTTCATTCTTGGTTTCGAGCATTTCCGGTTTCTTGCCTTTGGGCGGTGTCGTACTGCGCGTGTAGCTGGACGCTTTCTCAGCCCGGTCAAGCAGTGGATGGGCTTCAAGCACTTACGTGAAAAGGAACGGTGGCGTTCCTCCGAACTCGAAGAGTATCTCGGCAACGCCGCCTTCATGAATATCCACCGTGGCTGTCCTTCCTTTGCTAACCCTGACGCTGGGCATTTCATGTATCACCTTTGTGATCTTTATTTTCGCTTTGCAAGCGTCAGTACTCCTCTGATCACTAAGTGCTGTAACGACAAAGATTCCTGGCTTTTCGGCTATGCGTCTGAATTCTGTTGAAGGGACGGAAGCTTTTCGTTCGTGATCTTGGAATGTGTAGAAGACACTGAAGGGAGGAGTGCCTGACAACGTGTATGCGATACGGTCGCCGACGCAGTAATCCTCCTGGTCCTCTAGTGGAGAAATGCTTGGGATGTCTGCAACGCTGACTTGCACGTGCGGGGCGTTCAAGTCCGTCGTACGCTGGCAGCCACGAGAGTCTTGAACTTTGCGAATGACAACGGAATGGGTTCCAAGTGCAAGTACTCTATGTGGAATGTGCAAATTGTAACGATTGGTCTCAACGTTGGGAACATTAATGAGCTCGGGCTTTGATTTTGCGTAGTGTTTGATCTCGAGTTCGAGATGAAACGGAGGTAGGCCTATTAAGCTGATTGGAAGTACTTCGTCACCTGCTTCCTCCTCTTGGCAATACTTATACGTCCTGCCGGCTTCCGTGAAACGAGCAGAAGGTCTGGGGTGCACAATCTGCTGCACTGTTAAAGTTGTGAATTTTCGAGGATCATGGTTGTACGAGGTGTCTCCCAACTTCGAGAATTTGTATTCGTACGTCCCAGCTTCAGAGGTCTCCATTCTCAGAGAGGCCATGCTCAAGCCCGCACTGAATTTTTTTTGGCTCATAGATTGTAAGCCATGGTCAGGCTTATGACGTTGCTCGTACTCCACGTTAAAGGGAGCTGTACCAGTAAAGGAGATCTCCGTCACGTCTTCATCACCTTCGCAGACTTCCTTTTTCACATGCGTTCCCCTGGTGTACATGACCAGAGGACTCTCTGATATCTCAATGGAGGGTCTGGGGATCCAAAATACGCTGAATTGATGGCCAGACATGTCTACAGTGCCTGGACAGTGGGCATCCCGGACGTCAACGAGTTCATATGTCCCCTCAGCAGTGGCTTCGATATGATCGTTACTGTCGCGCAACGTTCTTTCTATTGGCTGTGTCATAGGGTCGTCTCTGTTGCGATAAGCAACAGTCCACGGTGGGTCGCCTTGCAGCCTGAGAGGTAGATGGATCTTTTTGGCCTCCAGAGCTTGAATGCTTCGCTTGCCTTCCAAGTGACCGAATGTAGCCCTGGGTCTCTGCAAGCCGACCTCCACCTTTGCCTCTTCTTTGAGAGAAATCCGGCATCCTGATCGGTCTGTAATACTTATCAATGCTAGCGTATATTCTCCGCCATCTCTCAGAGGCTCGGTAGTAAGCCTGTAGATGCTATCCTGAATGTCGGCAGCTGTATACTTCTGTCGTCGACCACGGTGGACAAGTTCATAATCAACAATATATGGAGGCTCGCCCAAGATCTGAATAGCGAAGGTCACTGGTTCTTCGATACAAGCTCTCCGCTTCGGTTGCGCGTCCAGGATTCGTGCGGCAGCAGGGGGTTTGACATCTTGTTCTAAGATCATATTTTTATGCCTTAAAGATATAGGACCACCATATACGGCGTCGCTGATACTGCTGAATTGGTAGGTATAGTGACCTGCTTGCAAAGGTTTCAACTCAAGCTGCGTATGCAGGCGGTCAATTTTCTCAATCTTCGGAGTGACCCCACCTCCACCTCGTCTGATACTATAATGAACGTGGAACGGTGGAGTTCCAGACAGGTCAAGATCAACCAAGAGGCCTATGGAGCTACCAGCGCATTTGTCGGGGATAGTCTCGGCACTGATTGCGAGATCTGGCTCGGGGGGGTTCAGAAGCAAACAAGACGACGGTTCCATGATTTCCCCGGCACAAAACATGGTACCAACAGACTGCAGAGTATACAGGCCTGGCTCACGGATTTCAAGTCCACGACTCGTATCCAAGACGACTATCTCTTTAAATGTTGCTGCGCTTGAGTGCTTTTGGTCCGGAAGCAACTCTTCCTGCGGGGTGAAAAGATAGGAAAGCGTATACGGAGCGTCTTCGAGCTTGCCGGATCCTGTCGAGCTGAGATGGATTGGGAGCATTTTGGATTTCCCCTTCTCGACCTTGATTGGGTGCTGCGAATCATATTCGCGTAATGCGACCCGAGGTCTCTCGTGCACAGTGAAGTGCTGCTCCAATTGATGACCCTTCAAGACCTTCTGTGGGCCTGACGACGACGAGCGTATATCGGAATAATTTACGACGTTACCGCAAGCGTCCTGAACCTCATCAACCAAGTACTGCCAGCCTCCACTGACGCCAAGTGACTCGTTGAGCGGTACATCGATAGTCTGAGCCCGCGCCCAAGAGAGGTCCATGTCAGCCGGTGAATCAAGCGAGACCAGAGTACCTGAAGTTCGTTGTCGAGCTAATGGCGAAACCAAGTTCTCCGGATGTATACTTAGAAGAACATGGTCTTTATCGTTGCGATTCACCATCTTGCTATACTTTATTTTCAATGGAGGTGTTGCCTCCACTTGGAGATAAAAGTCCGACAGATCCCCTTTGCATTTGTCCTGCATTGTGGTCTTCACCATCGCCCTTGGACATTGGACTACAAGTGTATCTGAAAGGCGTCTCTGTACCTCGAGCTTTGACTCGTCAAGGACCTTCTCGAGCCTATAGAGGCCAGTCTCCTTGACTGGGTAATGCAGGACTCGGGGGCTTGTGCGATCGTTCTTCGCAAAATTTCTGTTTGCTTGCCTCTTCAATTTGTTGATTTGCTTGATCGTCACAATGATTGTCTCGTGGGCGTTTGTGTCGAGGTCGATTCTAAGTAGTTCGATTGATATTGGATTTGTTTGATTGATGCGGATGGGCAGGTCGACGGAAGTTTCCATGTTCCCAATGCAGAAAGGGCTTTGGTCCGGATTCAGCATTGCAGAGCTGCTCAGAGTCAGTTGTGTCAGCTGCTGAATATTGAGCAAATACAAACGTACCCCTCTGGCAATATGTGGATGATTTGTTTCCCCAGAATTAGGGATGAATTTTGGAGAATGGAAGCTGGCTTAACACTTCTTTCTGAAACCGCAAGTTCTCTGTCATACATAACTTTCATAAATGCTAGGAACCAAGATGTGACGGGAATCTATCAATTCGTAAGCATCTATTTCTTGAACTTGTTTGAGCATAGGGCTAGACGAACTGGTATGCGGAACATGAGAAGCGCATTGAGCATAGTATGCAGTATGACCAGGATAGCAGTCATTGAGGATGACCACTGCAGCCATGGGATCTGGAGTTCGGGCAAGCCGTAAAGGAAAACAGAATCGATAGCAAGCCATTTCATGAACTTCCAAAGAGATTCTGCCTCGTCCGAGACCAGTCCGAAATAGTCGTACAGTCTCCATATGGTCAATGCAGCATAGAAAAGCGCAACGTAGAGCCTCTGTGAGGGTGCATCAACCACTGTAAACGGAATCATAGGCGTAGGAGCATTGGTGTTGAGGGATGTGGCTGGCGGTAAGGGAGACCGAGGCCCCTGGAGCCCCGCAAAGGTCGTGCCGTGACCAGACTGCTTCTGTCCGGATACGGGGGTGGATGGATAGGCCGAACGAAGGCGAGGAGTGCCGTTCATGGCATGCTTGGAGTGTTTGGAATACTCCAGTCGAGACCACTAGGCGAGACTGAATGTGGCCGGTGCACGAGGGACCGCAGGGATATTAGACGTGGATAATTCGTATGTGTCATGCTTCGCATCAAAATAAAGCTGGATTGAGAGTCAAATCACGTCGCAAGGCTGTTGACAGAAATGTTTGGCCAAGCACTCTACATTCTGCGCAGACAAAATCAGCCGCTACGAGTAACCGCGCGCTTCGGAGTGCCTCACCGTCTCGCCGTCTTGCCTTTCGGACGCCACAAGCTGTACTGTTTTTTGTCTTTACTACACTGGGCAATGACACTCAGATCACAATGGGTCGTCATTTCGCCAGACTAATTCTAAATCATAGTCCTGCTCTCTTATCAGCCTTCAAGCCGGCCCCCCCCTGATACCCAATTTCTAAGTATGGCTGGACGCTCAGCCAGAAGGCGTGTTGGTAGCTCCTCCACTATCTCAAGTACCGCCTTTAGCGAGAAGCCTCTCTCTCAAGATCCTTCAGCCCCAGCAACCATAGAGGACAAGCGAAGTTGGAAGGGTTTCTGCGAAATTGAATCAGAACCAGTGCGTTTTCACCATGCACAAAGTATTTGAGAGTGGATGTGTGCTGACAGCAGTTGCAGGCTTTCTTTAACATCATGCTTAAGAAGTTTGGAGTCCAAGGCGTCAAAGTTCAGGAGATAGTTTCGTTAGATGATGAGATACTTGCATTCCTGCCGTGAGCGCCTCACTGTCTTTCTTTTATCCTGCTGCGAGTTATCCAAAGATCTGACCTGATAGGTAGTCGACCCGTCTATGGATTGATCTTCCTATTCAAATGGATTGAGGAGGACTCCGAGAAGCAAGAGCAAAGTTGTCCCAAAGGTGTTTGGTTTGCCAACCAAGTCAGACTCTTGCCCTCATCGCTGGTCATAACATCTGATTGAGTATAGACCATCAACAATGCGTGTGCGAGTGTTGCATTGCTGAACATTGTCAACAACGTTCCAAGCATTGACTTAGGGGAAAGTCTTCATGCATTCAAGATGTTTACCGCCAATTTCACCCCAGCTTTACGGGGTGACGCTATAGGGAATTTCGATTTCGTCAAAGAAGTCCACAACTCATTTGCTAGGTACGTAAGTTCCCAATATGCCGTACAGCATCATGCATCTCTGTTGCACACGCGGCGTCCTTGCAGCTCTTCTTTAGACAAAAGACCGAGACTCAGAGTATCGGCAGGAAAATGGACATGCTGAATGCAGACCTCCTCCTCAAGAATGAAGCTACAGCGAAGAAAGGTAAGAAAAGAACAACAGATCAGGACGAGAGCGAAGGGGGTTTTCATTTTATCGCCTTCATGCCTATCGACGACCAACTTTGGAAGCTTGATGGACTTGAACGCCAACCAATGAGTCTCGGTAATCGCCAAGTGCCCGCCCGAAACTCTCACAAGGCTGACAGTATTTAATGCAGGCTCAGTGCAGGGTGACTGGCTCAGTCAAGCAAAGCCCGACATCGAGGCTCGTATGGCCCAGTATGAAGAGGGACAGATCGAATTTGCCATTCTAAGTCTCGTCCGGGATCCGTTGCTCGAGACAATTCCTGCTCTCGCTAAAAACGTAAAAGCCATCAATGCATTATCGATTCGGTTGGACATTGTCAAGCCGGGATGGAAAGACTTCGTCGACTCCTCGACCAACGGTGAAATTGCGGGAACAGATAGCTTGATCGGTAACACCAACTTGGCTTATGGCCTCACGCAAGAGATGCTTGATCAGGCTGAACAGTCCCAAGCTGTGATGGCTCTCTGCCTAAGTGATATCGCATCAGATATCCTCGGGCACCGTGAGCAATTGGTCACCACACAAGCGGGTTTACGAATGTCGATCAGAGAAGAGATGCAATCAAATCAGTCGGACGAGGAAAGAGCTGCAGCTCGAACCTGTGATTACGGAGCAAGGATGCAAAGATTCGTGAGAAAAATGAGGGTCAGGCAGCAGTCATCAAAAGAAGCGTAGTTACACATCGGCCACAGTCTTTTGGCGTTCTGTCGAGATACCCCATAAAGTGATCAACTTGCACCATTGCGGCGCAAGACAAGAAAACGTATATTCACTGTTCACTTGCTTTGGGGGCCTCTTATCAATGGAAAAGTTGCATTGCTGCAGCGGTTGCAGCGCTTGTATTAATTGCCGCGCCTACTTCACTCTTGAATCTCGGTGAAGTAAATAAGAATCTTGAATGACTTCAATAGATGTAGTTTGACTGGTGATGCCTACGTGACACAAAATACTCGAGGAATAACACTGGTCCAGCCACAGTTTGACGTCCGTGCGCCTGTCGTTTGCCAATATATCCTTCACCAAATTACCGTAAGTCCACGTTCGACGCTTCTTTTGTCCGTCCAACGCGTCGACATTCAGTTTGACATGCTCTTATCTAAGAGCTCCGCAATTTTAAAGCGCGGTCCGAATGATCTGGACTCCAATGGTCTCTACGAGAGTAATGGAGAGGTGTGCTGATCCATTACTACAACTCGAAATTGACGAGTGGATTCTTGACTACCTAATATTCTCCGCTATCAAGGCTTTGTTGGAAGACTACAAAGGCACGAAAGATGCGCCCGCCGATGCATCCGACAAGCAAGAGCGAGCGAGCGTGTGCTTACAGCTTGTGGACTGTAAGCATTATTGAATTCCAATCAAAGCTGTGCAGCCAAGCTCATGCCAGGAAGCAGCTTTCTTCACGACCTTCTGTACGATACACCCAGAACACCACGCCAGCTTAGACTTACGGTTTCGCTTACGCCTCCTCAAATTCACCGCAATGTCCACGAAGCGTTCAGCGCCAGCAGAGGCAACTCTTCCTGAGCCAGCTCTGAAAAATCTACGGCATCGGCGTCAAGAACAAGCTGTTTCTTTCCGTTCCGGCGACAATGACTTTGCCGCTTTAGACCTTCCCGACTTGACCGAATTCCTCGCACCACTAAATGTTATGGAGATCAAGAAAGAACACATAGGTCACGAATCCACCGGTGGCAACATAATGATGTCGGATCCACATGGCCTCTTTCCACCTGCGATATCTTTACTTGACACGATTCCCTTTTTCATGGCTGTGTCAGCGGCGCAGATTTCGATGCAAGAAGGTACAATCACCGACACCTGGATGCGATTGGCAGCCGGCTATATGGCACAAGCCGTGGCCGAACAGTACCTCGTCTACGGATCTCAGCGTCAGGAAGTGCTTCAGGAAGCCTTTGCATGGGGCTTTGACCCTGAGTGCAGTGCAGAGGACGGAACCGATGATTTCCAGATAAACGCTATGTTTTGGGGTGTGGATGCAGTCGTAGATGGCTGGGACAGAATCCGCGATGAGCATGCACAGGCCGTAAGTCCGAATTCCAATATCCTGTGCGCATAAGCTTACGGGCGTTGCGCTGCAGCTCATACCCCCGGCAGGAACTGACTTGCAGTTGCACCTGGAGACGGTAATGGCAAACGACCTCTCCATTGCCGAGTTCGAACGACGTCTTATTGACTTCTTGGACAAAATGCTGATGGGTCAATCGAAACCCTTTCTACTGCAAATGGAGTCAGGCAAAGTTGATGGGCTACCACGGAAGAAAATCAAAGATTTATTTGAAGCGATTGGCATGATATGATTTGCGTGTAAACGATTATGTTCGAGATACTCTTTTTCAGCGTTGATGCTTGTCCAACGTGACATTTATCGTTCCATCCTAGAAGCTCCTGCTGATAACAAGATACCGGTATATATAGTACTTGTATAAACGTCTCATATTCCTTTTCATCCCTGGCAGGTCCGCCTCGCTTGACGGCGCCTTGCTCCGTTCGTACAAAATAAACTGCACAGAGGGCCCGCGAAAATCGCAATTGTGTTCAACTTTTGCAATTCGACACCGAATGCCTTAGTCACAAAGCTTTTGCTTCATGAATTACTCTCCTCGACTATCTATATAATTCTTTAACGAAAAGTTTCAGCGCATATTGGTTACTTGATGACCCATCCAACTCAGCAATTCCCTCACTGTGCAGTTTATTTTGTTGCCACCGAGCCTTGCTTGACGTTGGATATTCTTCTCGAACTTTGCCAGGTCTTACAAGTCGACCGGCGGTCTTGTATACCTTAGCTTCAAACACGCTAAGAAGCGCAGAACGGCTTAGCCCTTAAATCTTGTCCCAAGTAACAGGACGGAAATTATTGAATGTAAATCGAGCACTAATCATCTGGATATTCGTCTTTAATGTTGCTGACAAATATCCCATTTGTCCTGTCCCATCGCTTGAAATGCTGACCCGCTAAAACCATGAGATCTTTGCCAGGGTCATCCTGCACAAGCGCAATATTTTCCTCGGCAACATATCGTACGGATTTATCTTCACCTCTAGGGATTGACGGTCAGTAGACAATCGAAGGATCCATGATTGCTCACTTACAGCACATGGTAGAAACCCTGGTGCTTGCCCCCTGGCAGCTCGTGTACGCGCATATGTGCCATCCAATCGTCTGTAGCAGCGCATTCCACGTCCCAGCCAGTAATGACAGCCTTGTAATGATACCGTTTGTGATGGAATATTTGTCCAACCTTGTATTGGACGTTGCGCACCGAGTCTGACGTACGATCTTTGACGGTTTTGGGCATATGATCAGTTGTGCGGATAACCCTAATTGTATTTCGTGATTGTTCATGTTGAATACGGTCCTCGATCATAGGAGGGATATACTTTTCAATCAGCCAGGTATCCGTGAGAAAATACTTTTCTATAAGCTCCGTGATGTGACTTAGACAGTTTGCACGTTGCGCGCCAGCTGTAATTGTGCCACCCTCTGGCAGGAGTAGTACTGCCCAGACCGCAGCGTAGAACGCGCCATCCACGTCAGGGTAAGAGTGGCCCGCACTGTGGTCACGAGGAATAGCCTGTAGCGAAGTAATGATGTTCTTTGCACATCGACGAATGATCTCAGCGGTTGACGAAGCACCCAGCAACTCTGGAAAATTTGCTGGGGAGATGCCTAGGCTCTGAAGTTGAGCTCGAAGATCCTTCACATAGACTTCTTGGCTGGATCTGAAGGGATCCATGTACATTGGCTCCGATGATGTACCAGGGTCCGTATGTCTTCCATCCAATGTGCGACCTGGGGATGGTTTGATGATGGCAAGCACGTGAAATGGAAATCCACAAGGCTGGGCGTCAATACCAAGTCTTTGCGCCACACAGCAGTATATTGCCACTGATACGAGAGGTAAAGATGGGTGGGGTCCATCCTGCAAGGCAATGCCAATGAAGTTGTTTTGCAGATCGTGGTAATGAGAATTGCTACTGATGCCCGTCAAATCATGTTGTCTCAAGAATTCTGCGAGCGCGATGGCTTTTTGTTGTGGCGATTGATCCATATTTTCTGGATTTTCGCTGCAATATTGCTGTGCAATACCATCAAGGCGAGTGGCCACCTGTGATTCTTAGCTGCGATGGCTGGTTCTGGTTCTTGGGTACACACATCATGGAAATCGCCGTCTCTTTCGTGCAAGACAAACATGTCGAAGGCAGCAAGGGCTCTCTCCAGCGGCACCACATCCCCATCGTTAAGCTTTGCCCACTCCCTAACCGCCATGCTTCGATGTAAGCCCCCAAGAACGGCGTCGCTATAAAATCTGATATATAATCAGTGCTCAGTCCTCGCACACGAGATTCATTAGGCAATACCTTCGGGCCAGAACATCTTCAGCATGATCGCCGACATTAAGATGTCGGAGTAAAGCATCCTTTGCATCGTAGCCATGACCCATGATCCTTTCAGCCTTTTCAATCCTATTCCTCTGACTAGCGAGGATGCCGTCAACATCGCGCGTTATTGAACGGTCAACGCTATAACGGTCGGAGAAGAGCTTCTTCCAGTCCGTCTCAACGACAGCTCCCGAAAGCTTTTGTTGAAAACTATGTTCGGGGCTCCAGTACTTGAAGTGGGTACGGCAGTGGTCACGCCACAGAAGAGGCTGTGGGAAATCATTGAACTTGCGGGAAACTGTCTGGAGGGTAGGTACAGAAGAGGGGGGCAAATAAGATATGATCTGATGTAAAACTTCAGTTGGAAGCTCACTGAGTGTGAAGGCCATGGTCTTGTTGCCAGTTTGTTTTTGTTGCAACGTTGGAAAATACAACTGATGTTCTGGAGTAATTGCCTTCATCGTATCTACCCCCATTTACGCCATATTAAATCCGATAATTCCGACGCAATACCAAAATACCTACCTTTCACCAAATTTATATAACAAACTAGTATAATAATATTCATCTTTTATTACTATTAAGACTTCTATATTAGAAAGTCTAAATAATAAATTTTTAAACTTTGTTAATCTATTATATCTTTAAAAAAATCGTTATTATCTCTTCTTTTATTACTTTCTTATCTCTTTTATTACTTTTATCTCTATTATTATCTTTATCTCTTTTATTTTACTATTATTATAAAAGTAAAGTTTATAATAAAGTCTTTAATAAAGCTCGCTATTATAGCGAAGATATTAAACTCGATTTAAGATTAAAGTTCTAGAGTTTTATATAATAATATAAAATTAAAAAAAAATCGTATATAGATTTAATAGTAAAAATAGTTCTTAAAAAAGTAAAGAAAACTTAAGAGAATCGCTTACTTAAGCTTATTCGCTAAAACTTTATTAAGCGTATATAAATTAAGCGATATATACGCTATATAACGAGATATAATAAAGTAAGATTTTAAGTATTTAATATTATCTCGCTTCGAAATAGAATTTTAACGAAGTAAGTATTATAATAGTAGAAAATTAATTACTATTACTATTATAAATTTATAAGTTAAATATAAGATAATTAAGATTCTATAGAGAAAGCTATTAGAAAGTAATTCTCATATAGCGTTATCTTCTAACTCTTCGTTTCTACTATTCTATTATATCTATACCTTTTAGAGGTGTCGCCGACGATGATAACATATTCTGAGGACGCTAATAGCGGCGTTTTACTAATAGTACTCGAGTTTATATATAGTGCTTTAACGTGATAACTCTAAGAGCTTAATATCTGAGGAATTCAACTATAAACTCTTAGCTATTTTCTAATAAAATATTTTTATATCTCTATTAAATATCTAAGAGAAATAAAATAACTATATAATAGATAAAGTCTTCTTATTATTCTAATAAGCTACTTTACTTAATATCTTACTATTATTATATTATTCTTTAAGGCGTATATATATTATAATATAAAAAAAAAATTTATTAAGATAAAGTAGTTAAAAGAGATAACGATTAAGATTTAAAGGCTAAAGGTCTTATTAGAAGATATATTTTAAAAAATCTAAATTAAAATATAATATAGATAATTAATATATTATATTAATTATTAATATAATATTATAATACTAATATCTAACTCTACTAAGATTATTATAAAAGAGTTTTCTCTAAATCGATAATTTGAAATTATTAATAGATAATTTATTAAGAATTAATTAAATAACGAAGTAATATAAGAGAATAATATATTATTAAGACGTAGTCTATTTTTAAATAAGCTATAATCTAATAGTAAAGTAATCTTAATATCTATTAAATCCTATTAATCTTTTCTCTTTTATTATAAAAAATATCTTAATTTAGACTTTCTAGAGAAATAAATTATTAAAAAAAAGAATATCGATTAATATATATTTAAGAAGAAGAAGAGAAGAAAGTAAAAGAGAGTTAAGAAGAATAAGTAGTATAAAAAGAGATAAGAGATAGTAGAGAAGATAAGGTTAAAGAGCGAAGATTTCTCTTAGCTCTATAAATTCTATAAGTAAAACTATTAATTATAAAATTATAATAGATTAATAGAAAAAATAGCTCTTTTATCTTCATTATTTAAAATATTAATCTCTAAATAAAGATGAGTTAATATTCTTAATTTCTCTTAATTATTAATAAAGAAAAAGATAAAGAAGATTTAATTATAGAAGATAAGTTTAATTTATACTTTATCTTTAACGATAAGAAGCGAGATATTAGAAGAAGTAATTTTATTAAATTATATTAAATTAAAGTCTAAATCTAGGCTATAATTTTTATATATATTAATATAAAAGAGTAAGATAATATTTATTTATTATAATAAAAAAGAGAAAGATATTATCGCTTTAGCGATATCGACTTTTAAAAATAATAGATAATTTTATTTAAAAATATTATTTAAATTATAAAGAAAATAGAATAAATTAATTTTAAAATAAATTATAGAGAGATTAAAGAAAATTATAGAGTTTAAAAATATAGTATTTATAGAATTTTATAATATTAAAGACTAGATAATTTATTATTACTCTTTTATAATTATTAAAGAAATTAAAAATTAAAGCTTTTATATTAGCTTAGCGATTATATATATTATTAAATATTATATAAAAGAGCTTTAAGTATATATAATAAATAAGAGTTCGTCTAATATTATAGATTTTTATCTTCTAATTATATAAATAATAAGAGTAAAAAATTTTAAAAGTTTAAAATTCTAGATAAAATATTAGAAGTTTAGAGGCGTTATAAGTAATAAGATTATAATTATTTTTAAAAAAAATTCTAGAATATATAGCTTCGAGTTTATAGTTAAATAATTAAAA